TTTTAATTCCTTTAAGAATTCATTTGTACTATAAGAGCGATGTTGAAGGAGAAAATCAATTACAAAGGACCACGCACTTTTCTTATGCAAAATGTGTGATATGTTAAATTACTTGTCCCCATCAAAAGTGTCCATGGGCCCAATCGTATCCTATGACTAGATTTTGAGATACAGGTTGTTGAAGTTAGAAATCCCTAGTTCTTTAAAATGGACACCATAAATCACCCTTAAATATTTTTGGAAATTATTCGCCTATTGTGTGTAGTCAAAATACATACTTAACTACTATAATTAAAATATTGTCCCTTACAGGGTGATTAATGATTCGACAGATCTTTTTTGGTCAAAGTAGGTATTTCCACCGAACAAAAATAGCTGAAATACCAAAAAAAAAATATATCACCGTCAAAGTCTGTCAATATTTGATATCGTACAGTACTCGATGTACTCGTTCAAAATTCTTATTAGTAAAATTGGATCCTATACCTAGTTTTCCAAATATAACTATAACAAGTAGATACCAAATAAATGAATTATAAACAATAAATATATACTGACATAAGTAGATATTTTCAAGAGAAATATCTCATATTAAATATTTTGACACACTGTGTTAGATTATGAATATTATTTGGAAACAGAAAAAAATTTCGTACTTACAGGGTGATCGCAGTTGAATATGTAAGATAAAAAAAATCAACAAAATGTTGAAATTGTTCCCAAAATACAGGGTCATACTTTATTCTGGTACAAAAAATTTGATTATATGGTAGGTCTAAGTAGGATGTGGAGAAATGAATTATGATCGGATTACAGGTTTATTTGGCTCGAGTATTGTCATAAGTGCTTCTTTTTATTGTATATTTAAATAAGATTATGAGCTCCATTCCACGCCACCAATGAGGTAAAGCCCCCAATACATTTTATCATAAATCATGTCCCTGAATTCGTAAACATTTATAACCCTATAGCAGATACTCTAAAGGCCATATTTTATGTCGATTGTACAACTCAATTGAAAAAAGTAGTAATTTTAGAATATTACGTCAGTCCTATTGCTATTTTAAGAAGAAACATTTAGTTAAGCCAGAAATTACAGTAGCTCCTGACCGATATATTTTATCAATCAATGGTCCCTATTTTTCTGATGCAGCAATCTTACAACAATTGGCTAATGATACTTATGAATTTAGAAACTGGATTACAGAAGGAGATATAGTAATAGTAGATAGAGGCTACAGATATGTTATTCCTAGATTAGAAGAACTTGGGTTAATTACCGCTTACCAGTTAATGCCACTTTTGCTTCATCAAAACCAACGGCAATTATCAACAAGTGAAGCTAATAGAGCCAGAAATGGACAACTCGAGGTGCGGCCACCTCCTCGTGGTGAGTTCCGGGTTGATTTAACATTTAAAACCGGTTTTATTATCTTGTAGCTGCCATAAATCCCTTGAGTTTTATATCAAGCGAAGAGCTGCACAAAGCTGAATTTTTTAATTTCTTACCCCTAAGGGCCCAGCTAAATATTTTATATTTTCACTAATTTTTATATAGGGTATAAACAACATAAAACACAATTTTTTCACACTAGCCAGAATTTTTGGTAATTTTTGACCTACCCTATTATAAAAGTAGGGCAATAGTCCTACAGAGGCTAACACTTAAAACAAAATGTATTAGGGCCTTACCTCATTGGTGACGCGGAAAGGAGATCCCAATCTGATATAAATATACAATATAAAGATTTGATGATCCAGTCAAAATAAACATGTAATCCGATCATCATTCATTTCCCTAGATCCTACTTAGACCTACCGTATAATGAACTTTTTTTTTTGTAATGAAATAATGTATGACCCTATATGTGAACTAATAAGATTTTTTTGATAAAAAACTCGCAAGTTAAAAGGCAATTATTTTATTTTTTTGCCAACAGTTTCAACATTTGGTTGATTTTTTCACCTTACATATTCAACCGCAATCACCCTGTACGAAATATTTTTGGCTGCCCTCAAATAGTACCAGGGGTATATTTCTAATCCAACACAGTGTGTCAAAATGTTTAATATACAGTATTTCTCTGGAACTTACCCTCTTATGTCAATATATGTATTGTTTAAAGTTCATATATTTGGTACATATTAAGTTATATTTGGAAATTTGGAATCTAATTTTACCAATAAGAATTTTAAACAAATACATTAAGAACTATACAATACAAAATATTGAGAAACTTTGACAGTGATATCAAGTGACATCAAGTAATTTAACATATCAAAAATTCAGACATTTTGACGGTACTCCCGTTTGCACAAGAAAAGTGCGTGGTCCTTTTTTTGCCGTGTTATCAAAATATTTTAAATCAAAATATTTTCGAGAGGAATACTGTGTACATACTGTATAAATAATTTTACATGAGACATCACTAGATCAAATTTGTTGCAAATTACATTCTTTCTACGTGTATGGCTAATTAAATACCTGTCATAGGATCAGCTTCCGTTTCATAATCGATCATTTTGAAAACTTCCGATTTGAAAAAATATATGCCAGTATGTCTGCCCAATTCAAAGTCAACGTCTTACGTTGAACAATAAATTTTTTTTATGCGGTATTTAAATCTCGTTTTTATATGATTTTTCTTATCGATTATTGAGGTTATTAATATTTCAAAAAAATGCATCGTTATGAAATGAACCTCGTTAGTAAGTACGTTATAATTAGGTAATTAAAAATAATATTTCCTTTACCATGGATTTAGGTAATTAAAGAGTAATCAACAACAAATATTTCTAAAGTAGGCCATGACTGACGAAGACAAAGATATTGAATCATAACTTCTGAATTAAATCCAAATCACGGTAAAGTATCATATAAAACAACTAGCATTTAAAAGCAAAAAACTTGGCTAAAAATGATTGTTCATTGCGATATTTTTGATTTTAGGGCCCTCTATGGGTATAAAAACTGTTACTAAAATGTAATTCTTCATTTGAAAGCCAATTTCATTAATAATTTAATGAATAACATAACAAAATATAATTGATTGAAACATTAACTTAAATAATAGAAAAACCTTATATAGAGCTTTAACGTTAAAAAATACAAACAATAGAGAGTTATTGCAAGTTCAGTTAAGATCTGTCACTATTAGTGCCGCTCTTATTTTGACATCTGAGCATGCACAAATCACTAACTTTAATAAAGATTGTGTCTCTCCTTAATAAGAGAGTTATTGCAAGTTCACTTAAGGTCAGTCACTATTAGTGCTGCTCTTATTTTGACATCTAAGCATGCGCAGATGTTTATGTTCTAAAACTGACTTTATTAAGAATTGTGCCTGTCCTTAATTGTGGATGTTTAAGGGCGGCAGGTAGTGGCTACTTTATAGCTTTCGGATGCGCTCGGCGACATTCGTATCCGTTAGAAGTTTTTTAATATTAAATATTTAATATAATCGTCATTTAAACCTTATAAGGTTAGAAATAAGTATAAGGACGAGGATTCTAATGTCAAAATTTCAGGTATATAGAATGAAATATATTTCAATTTAATCTTGCACAGCGCAGTACATCTATTTACATTATTATATCGATTACTATTATAATTTCTATTATTTTCTTGGTTATAATTTGTATTGTAATTCCTATTATTTTGGAATCTACCATTATTATAACTTTTGTCAGATGTGTTATAATTCATGTTATACGTTTTATTAATACTATTCCTGTTATTACCTAATCCTCTCTCCATGCTTAACAAGTAATTAGAAAATTGATCAAACTTATTGATATTTTGTAAGAAAATTGTTTCTGCAACTTCTGATTTATAGTGTCATGCTATAGACATTATTATTTCTTCCTCTCGCATTGGAGGATCAAGAAATTTAGCTAGTGTAAATAACTTTAGAGCATAATAATTTAAATTACTACTTCTGTTGTAATCAAATTTTCCGAAGTATAATTTTTCTCGTACTAAGGATTGTGAGTTTTCCCCCCAAAAATATCCTAAAAATTTATTTTGAAACTCTTTGAAATTCTCGATTTCAAGAATATTACTATTGAACCACAACAAAGCGTAATCTGGGTGTAATCTGTTTACATCTCCTTCAAATCTCAAAAATTGTTCTCATACATATAACCAATGTATCTTATTGTTATATCAAATAGCATGCTTTATAAATTTGCACGTTTTTATATTTATACTTACCTTTAAAATGTTACTAAAGACAAATATAAAACCGTTATAAATCAAAACGCCTTTAAAAAGAAATTGGTGTTATAGATACGACTTATAGATGTTCTTAAGAAATACTGAGTATCTCTTATAAGAAAAATTTACAACATATAATAAAAATGCTGTAAGAATATTTATATAACAATATTATAGTGCTATTTTGTTTTCAAGAGCTAAATTGCATCATTTGCTGTATTTATGAGTCAATATTGAATTTCTGAAACAACTATAAAACTTTTATAAGAATTAAATGTTCTATAATATAAAGGTTATGGAGGTGTGCTGGTTGGGAGCCCCTTCGGGGCCCCTGCTGCTTAGAGCCCTGCGCATTAACGTACTAAGCGTACCGGTAAATCCGGCGCTATAGATATTCTACAGATTTTTAAATTCTATACCACTATATTTGTTAAATAGAAACCGTTTAAATAAAAATCGGTTTATGTGGGGTTGATTTAGAGTTTATTTTTTATTTTTCATCTTAGTTTTAAGCTTCTTAAGTTTACTTAAGTACACAAATTGCTGATTGGAAAAAATGAATCTGAATGCAATACAAATAAGAAAGATACTTAATATAATTCATTAGTATAATGTTACTTTTAGTATTTAGTCATATTTGGTACACCTCGTATACATCCAAACAGAACAACTGAAAATCCTGAATTCCGCTATAGTGTTTCACAGCTTACCGTCTCGAAGTGAATAAACTAAGTGAAATCTATTCTAAGAGGAAGCTATATATGGCGCGCACAAAACGTAAGCATGTCCGGCTAGCGTCGCGGCGCCCGAATAAGCGTCGTCGTCGGAAGTTATTTAAGAAAATAGTCGAAGACTCATTCTCAGTCGCGGGTGTTAGTTGGAGAACTTAACATCGTAGACAAAATGGTAAGTTTAACAAATGAGGAACCAACAATAATACAATTTTGGATTACCTGTGATTTTTTGTGAAAGTGTTTTTTTGTGATGTGATACTTTGTGTGAAAAAATTAAGTACTACCTGTAGTATCTATGTATATTCTTCATTATTTATAATGTGATTACATAATAGGAACTATCAAATATATAGTAATTCACTTGTGCTTATCTATTCCAATTTTTATAGGGATTTTAAATTTGTTTTTTTATATGGATATAAATCATCATTTATTTTTAAATTTGCAATTTTTGATTCATGTTTTAACAAACTAGATACATGCTATAGGTACAATCAATCATCTTTACTGTAATAATGATACCTACAATGTAATATGTTGTCCAGAAAAACTTTTAAATGAGATTTCTCTATTTAGTACCTTTTTTTTTGTTAAAAATAGCTTCAATTAACGAATAGGTTAGGTTAATAAAGTAGACTCAATAAAATTAAATTTACTAAATGTTTAAAGGCTAAAAATATTCCCTTAGGGAAATATTTGCTCCTAGGTTGGAATCACATGGAAAACTTTTTTATTATTAATTTTAGGTAAAAAGTTATTCTTTATAAAATGTTGAGCAAGGTCTAAGACCTAAAATACAACTATCAGATATCAAATTTTATCAGTCGTATACAGAATAAAGGTACTTTACTCTTGAGTAAAACATATTTTTTGACAGACCTCGTATACCACTGAAAAAATTTGATATTTAATGACTGTATTCTAGGTTTTAGATAATGCAGAACTTTTTATGAAGAATAACTTTTTTTTTCTAAAATTAATAATAAAAAAGTTTTTTATATTATGATTCCAACCTAGGGAGACATACTGTAAAAAGAAAAATAATAAGCAATAAAATAAATCTCAGCGCCATGTGTCACATAAAAATACGATCGACAGTTTCCTTTTGGAAAACTAATTTAGCTAATACCACAATAGGCATTGAATTATATCCTAATAAGGACCTAACAGATCTCAGAATGACATCAAAGTTGGGGTGTTGAAATATCTAGTAGTTTTTGCAACAAGAGTGGATATGATGGATATTCCACTCAAGTTGTGTAGTATATTTTTTCTACGACCCACTAACGAAAATTTACAAATTTTACAAATTCTGATAAAATAACTAATTTAAATAGCTATTTAAGTAACCACTTACGAAATGACTCATTTTATGTAACAATTGTATATTTGCGGAACGAGCAATATGCGCGGTCACGCAATATGAACGAGTTATACATAACGGCATACAATATTTTTTCTAATTTTGACTAAAGTGTTTAATAAAAATATACTAAACACTAAATTTTTGTACTTCCAATCAAAGATTTTATAACAAAAAAATGTGGCATTTTATACAATTTGATTTATTCGAATGAACACAATAGTTATTTCAAATAATTAAGAAATAAATTATGTATGTTTTTGTTCACTTAAAGAAATATAATTATTGTATATCTATGCAACCAATATTACATTTGTAGTGTTAGTTGCATAACTTATACCTTACATATGCATATTGGCGAATAATATTTAGAAAATCATAAATATTTTTCTCAACTCAAGCACTAAGTACTTGTTGTCTAGTGCTTTTCTTGTTATAGCTTGTTAGTTTTCAAGAAACAGATATTGAGTAAGAGTGGATCAATATTTTCGATTATTTTGTTCAGACTTAAGATGGAAAATAGGAAAAATAGAATTATTACTATGTTCTAAGTTCAATAACAAATTCTTATTTTTATAAAGCCTTTATTCCATCGATATAAACTTTCAAATTGATTTTAAAACCACAAATAGGTTTATTTTTATTTTATTTTCGCAACATAATGAATTTTTCTTTTCACTTTATATAACTGGTTGCATAAAGAAGATCGTTTTTACAGTTGCAGGGATTACAAGGGATGTCTCTTTAAATGTCAAAATTGGAAAACATAATTTATGAGTTTTACGAATTTATAAAATAAAATAAACTTGAAAAAAAGATTTAATTTAATTTTTCTTCATCCTTTTATTACTAATAATTAAATTGATTCCCATGCAACATCATGCCGTCATTATGACGTGATTTTTTGGTGTGCCTTACGTCATTTGATGATGTGGAAATAACGTTATGGTAACGTGAGAATGTCACAGCGAAATGACGTCATTCCATATCGTCATTTTGACGAATCGATATCACGTTAAAGTAACATGTATATCGGGTGTCCTAGGCTAGGCAAAATGACGTCATTATCACGAATCTACCTAACGTCAAAGTGACGTCTATATTGGGTTCCCCAAGGTTGGATGGAATTATTAAAAATACTAAGCAGATGAAAGTTATTTATTTAATCCAAAAAACACATGAACAAATAACTTTTATTTGAATAATTTTTTACATTTTGTCAAATTTCTCGAATGCGGACCATTTTAGGAATATTTTGTATTAAACAAAAATTATAGAGAATAATATGAGAAGTAACTTTTATTTTAAGAATTTTCTTCTCCAAACGTAAATAACAGATATATTTCATAAAATATAAAAATTACCTATTATAAAGTACCCCCCAGATGTTCCGACTCTGTCCAAAATCTAATCAGTTTACCACAGGCCCGAATAAAGCTGATGTTTAAAATTTGGTGTTTTTCTTTGTATCCGTTTATGAGTTATTGTGGATACAGACACACACACAGACATCATTGCGAAAATAGTCAAAACGGATTGAGGGGACCCCAAAACGTAAAAATTTTTCGAAAATATACTTTCCTTATCTCTATACAGATAGGAAAGTAAAAATATACTGACAATTAGTTTGACAGAATTGTAACTTATTTAAAATTTTAAAAAATAATAGTAGCCTGTTGACTAAATATAAACTGTGATTGGTAAATTTTATATCCGTGCAGTGTTGTTACTAGATAGAATGGATATGAAATATATTCGTTCAGTTGAACGAAATGGCCTACTTTTTGGTAATCTGTGCCTAGAATAGCTAATATCCATGTGTGTGAAGAAAAATAATACAAATACATGCCTGTTGCGGTATTAGCAAAATAAGTAGTTGTTTTTCAGAGGGAAATTGCCTTTCGTATTAATATTTTAAGTATAATATGATCACATGTATTAACTAGATTTTGTCTTTAAGAAATTAAGACCAAAAAATCTGATCCTAGATACATATCTTTGTATAACCAAATGAACATTATTTCAAGGCAACAATATAAATTGAAGACGTCTATCCTGTATGGTCTTTAACACGTTAACTGCCATCCATTTCTAGACACAGCTCATTTTGACTGTGCGCCATATGTACCTTACGAGGACACATGCATTATAAGCTTCTGTCGTGGGAGTGTACTACATAGTATTACAATAAAAATAAAGGTAATAGAAGAAAATGTTTATTTTTGCTTAAATGAAAAAATCTAATAAACCACTTTGTAAAAAAAGTTGCATAGCCCCCTGGATCCGGTACAAATTTCTTCCATAAGTTGCCTGGCAGTTAACGTGTTAAGATTAAAGTAGTGGTACAATATATCGATTCGTTTTTTCGTAAGAATTAGATTTGTTTCTGGTATATTATTTTTTAAAAGCATGTGCCGTTATTTGGAAATAATTTTACTCAAGTATTCTTCAATTTACAAAGCTTACATTACATGTAAGAGCAATCGATGTCTCAATTCGATTTTTGTGAGAAATATATTTGTTCCTGAACTATTATTTTTTTAATAGTATGTGCCATTATTTGGAAATTATTTTACTTAATTATTCTTCAATTCACAAAGCTTACATTACATCTTAGTCAATTATTTCTAGCTGACAGCTACCTAAGCAAAAAATCAGTCAATCTATTTTATTCAGTTGTAATCTCAGACTTTTTTTTCACAAATCAGCGAAAAATAATATAATGAATAGTATAGATCAGTGGTTCTCAAACTTTTTTGGTAACGAAACCCTTTTGAAAAGCGACATATTTAACGGAGTCCTAACATAATAAAAATAGAATTTTTAAACTTTATATTGATTTAGATAGGTTTTATTTTACGTTACAACCCCGCGACATTTCTAAAAAAAAGGTCCTTAAGCTAAATCAGATCCTTAAATCTAAACAAAAGGTCCTCAAAAGGTCTTATTCTTTATTTGTTGATAATTATAGATATGTATTTGAAATTCTAAATAATGGTTATGACGTAGCGGTATTCTTCTTATTGTAATCGGACTTTACTCAAGTATTTCAACATTAGTTATGAGGTGTACGTTTTCCTATACTATTTCTTGTATTTTTGACTTGCAAACCATCAAATAATCTGTATATTTTTAGACAAAATCAAGTTTTATTTTTGAACAGGAAAAATTTGAAACTACGTTCTATTTTAAAGGCATCTCATGAGTTTTCGTAATACAACCTCAATTTTCAGTTATTTTTAGATGTAATCTGGATCATTTGGTTTCGTGCCAAAAATAATAAAAAGGTTGAAGACGATTTATATAATTATTTTTTGCTGGAGCTTTTGAATAACGAAAACTGACTGGCTTATTGACAATTATTTTGTTTTTGGTTTAGGATATTCGAGATTTTTATATATACAGTTCAGAAACATTTATTTTTGTATTCACAATAGAAAATAATATTTCTTACAAAAATAAATCATTGCATAATCAAAGGAATTTTTTTTATAAAATAATGTTCATTTTTCTATATAGTCAACTTTTAGCCAACCAAGTTATTGATCTTGCTCATTTTGCTTACTTGGAATAAGTATCTGCCTGAAATTTATTTGAGTCTATAGTGTTAAATCTCATAGGAAACTAATACACATAAAAAAAAGTTATAAAGAAAAAAATTGTTGTGGTTTTACAATATTAGCCTCATAACTAGTTAAACAACATATACAGGGCGTTTAATAGAGAATGGTAAATATTTTAACCATGAGTTGATGACCTCAAAATATTACTTTGTTAAATAACACTGAATCAAATGTTATCCATTTCAGAGATACAGGGTGTTAAATTTATTTTTCGTTTTTTGCCATAGTTTCGTTATTATTTAAAGTATTGACTTGAAATTTGGTATGGTTATATATTTGGGCTAGTAAATCATAATTATGTTATTAATTTTAATATTAGACAAAGAGGACGCCATCTATACTCTACTGGATGAATAAAACTTTTAATTTTTTTATTCTTGGCATTATGTCTATGCTATACCCTGTAAATTTTGAACAAAAAACGTATATTATACCAATTTACATTTTTAGTTCTATTTTCAAACCTACTTTGTTGAAATATTGTACACTAAATTAAATAGATATTGTGTCTAGAAAAGTTTAAATTCAAAAAACATTGTTCAATTGTACTTTCTAAATCCTTTGAAAGAAAAATCAATAAAATAAGCAGAATTATAAATTCTTTTTTAAAAAATGTAAAATATTTAAAAAAATTCACCAGAATTTAGATCTGGTAAACTCGGTGGCCACAAAGGACAAATAAAAAAATTCAGAATTAAAAAATCGAAATTGCAGTCTAAAACTAGTTACGTAGCCACCAACCTCAAATGGAGTATTAAAAGAGTACCTCTTAGTTATGTGGTTTAATCTCATGTCTAGCACGTCTCCTGTCACTAACCTTAAGATACTCATGTGATCTGGCCTAATGTCAAGATTTCCTAGTGTATTTCCTAATCTGTAAGCACCTAATCTTGCCTCCCCTTGTATCACATAGTGAAGAGGTGGGAGTCCTATTAGTGCTTCCATTGCAGCTGTGGGGGTTGTTTTCATTGCCCCCGTTATTCTGAGACAGGCAAGTCTTTGTACCTTGCTTAGCCTCGTTATTGCTTTCCTTTGCTGTGTCTTTGGCCACCACACCAAAGCTGCGTATGTTATTATCAGTCTCACTACCATGTTATAAAGCCAGTATACCATGTCTGGTTTTAACCCCCATTTTGTGCATCATTAACGAGGTATCCGCTCTCCTTGTGGTTTATTCTAGATGTTGGTTCCAGGTAAGTCTCGAGTCAATCATAACCCCGAGATATTTTGTCTCCCCCTTAAGCTGGATGCTTGCACTTCTTAGGTTTAGATGCACTAGTCCCTCTAATTTCCTCCTGCGGGTGAATGCAATTATGTCAGATTTGTTTGGGCTAATGTTTAGTCCTTCCGCCTCTGTCCATTTTGTTACTATATTTAGAGCCTCTTGCATTCGATCTCTTACTATAGTGTATTTTCCCTGTGCCATGATCACTAGATCATCGGCATATCCCAGGGTTCTATGTCCCTTATCTTCGAGAGCCCTAAGCAGCCCGTCCACTACAAGGTTCCACAGGAGTAGAGACAGCACTCCATCCTGCACTCCATAAGGGTTGTGTGTATAGTTCTCTCCCTTAACATAGAGTCGATCCAGGACACTCACGTGTCCTCGATTCCTCTGTGTTTGAGATATCTAATGATCGATTCAACGGAGGTATTGTCAAATGCACCCTCGATATCCAAGAATGCTCCCAGCATTACCTCCTTGTTTTCCAGTGTTCTCCACTCCTTTTATTAATTGATGGAGAGCTGTTTCAGTTGATTTCCCCGCACTATAGGCGTATTGGTTTTGGTATATTGGCCTCTGAACCAATATCCCGTCTCCAATATGCCTATCTAGCAGTTTTTCCAAAATCTTAAGTACAAAGGACAAGTGTTATTGGTCTTAGGGACTTTGCCGTTTCCTATCCCATTTTCCCAGGTTTTGGTATAAAAGTAACCCTAATATTTCTCCAATCTTTTGGTATGTGTCCAAAGGCCAGGCTACTTTTGAGTATGTTACAGAGTCTGCTGTATAAAATATTAGGACCTCTTTGTAACATTATTGGATAAACCCCGTCCATGCCCGATGATTTTTATGGTTCGAATGAGCTAATTGCCCATTTCAGTTTATCATAGTTCACTAGTTGTTTGGCTACCCTCCAATCTTCCCTGTTGGCTCTATTATGAGCTACCAGTCCGTTTAGATTTCGGTTAGCCGGTGTGTGCGCTATGGTTTGTGCACCAGGGAAGTGAACCCTGAAGAGTTCCCTTACTGTTTCCTTCCCTGTGATTGTGTACTCCCCCAGTTCATTCTTAAGGGTGTTTATTGTGTGTTGTGTGTCTTTTGAGAGAATTTTATGACTTCTTTAAACTTTTAAAAACAATAAAAACGATAAATATTTTGGAATGTTAAATACCTATTACTCGTAATAAATTGCCTGAATCATAGTCACTTATATCCAATTCACTGATAATTAAATAAATAATAATATATTCAAGTTTAGATAGATATTTGATAATTAAAATATGCATTTTAATAGGCGGACAAAGAAAAGAAGGTCAAGAAGAAGAAGAAGGAAGAAGGAGATGCCCCCGCTGCCGCTCCCGCCGCCGAAACCAGATCCTCATCCAAAAGCTCATCCAAAAAAGCTAAACGATCTGGTTCCAATGTCTTCTCCATGTTCTCCCAAGCTCAGGTAGCTGAGTTCAAAGAGGCCTTCCAACTCATGGACCATGACAAAGATGGTAATTTCTTTATAACTATTATCAATCAAAAATATTGAACATCTCCAATCTTAATTTCAGGCATCATTAGCAAGAGCGACTTGAGAGCCACCTGCGATGCCGTTGGTAAACTTGCAAGCGAAAAAGAGCTTGACGAGATGGTCAACGAAGCAACCGGACCAATCAACTTCACCCAATTGTTGGCTCTCTTCGGTAACAGGATGGCCGACTCCGGTGGTACTGACGATGACGATGTTGTCGTTGCAGCCTTCAAATCCTTTGACGAAGGCGGTACCATTGATGGCGAAAGGTATAATTTTCTTTACAAACTATTTTTGTATCATTGTTTTCCCACTTTTGTTGCTTACATACCTAAAGGCATATAATCATCTCATCATAGATTTATTGTTTTTCTGAGAAGTTTTCATCAATGTTGCGAATTACAGAGTTCTGTCATTAATGTTTCATTTTCATATCTTTTAAACATTCTACTTGATCTAAGTAACGCATTTTTTTGAGTATTTCAAAAGCATTTTACTTTTTTTCAAATTCTTTTTTATTGTATCCAGCTTTGCATATTTTTACAGATATTTTGTAGACTTTACCATCACTAACTTTGAATGGATGGCTAAGAACAACTGTGTCTTTTGTTTTAGATTCCGCCACGCTCTCATGACCTGGGGAGAGAAATTCTCCGCGAAAGAAGTCGATGACGCCTTCGATGCCATGGATATCGATGACAACAACAGAATCGATACTGGAGCTCTCATCACCCTCTTGACCGCGGCCCAAGAAGAAGAAGGTGAAGCAGCATAAGCAAAATAACAATTCTTAGAAAAACTATTCCACGGTCAACATTGTAACCATCAGAAACAAATATTCCAAATATCATCGGTGTGGTGTGTCTGTATTATTCCAACTTGATTTCGAATATCTACAGAAAAAGTGTATATGTGTATTTTCTTATGTATTTGTCTTTAATTTACGTTTACTAGTTGCTTTACCAACACGTAACAGTAAAAATATATTTTTTTTTGTTTCATAAAGAACTTTTTATTTTTTTTTACCTTAAGACTTATTTCCTGATACACCAATAATTTATTTAAAGAATATGTTTATAATAATACAGGCTATTAAGAACAAACGGTAATAATTTATCATATTTCTTTGAGCAACAGTTTGTAAATGAACTCCAATTTCAAAAATAATGCTTCGGCAACCCAAACTTGGGTAAAGACGATCCAAGGATTATATTGTTGAAATGACTGGACGATATTGAACATATAAGAACTATTGTGCCCACTTCTGCAAATAGCAAATTTATGATAAGTACTTAAATGAAATTAAAACGCAGGCTATAGAAATTGTCCGTATATTTTAATTTTCATTACAAATATTATTAATTCCTGTGTAAAGGAATATTTTTTCCAGACCTTTGGAAAGTCACAAAAGTTTTTCCATTGCCTAAATAGAACAATATTAGTAGCTTTAGTGAATTACAACCCATTTCAATCTTATCAATGTTATCAAAAGTTCTGGAAAAAGTAATTAAATATCAGATGGAGTCTCACATCAACAATTACAATATTTTACGTGGCCACAGCTGAACTTCAGTATTATTAGAGGTCACTGATGATATTTTTAGTGATATTGACAAAGGGAATACAAACGTTTTAATACTTCTAGATTATACAAAAGCCTTTGATACAATTAACCACCATCTTCTATTCAGTATTCTTCATTGTATTGGTTCTTCGGTTAAAGCAACTGAATTTATCAAAAACTATCTTTCCGATCGTTCTCAGTTTGTTGAGACAATAAGTGCCGGTAGATCTGATATTAAAAATATTGCCTGCTTCGTGCCACAGGGCTCTATTTTGGGACCAATTTTGATTTGCATTTACTCTAATAATATTAGTTCAGCTCTTAACAATGACAGAGTTTATATATATGCTGATCAGTGGCGGCTCGTGGGGTGGTTCACAGTGACAGAATATAGGTATCAGTACAGATGTATGAAAAAACTTTCAGTGTTTTAGAAAGTATATAATATACCTTTCTAAAACACTGACAGTTTTTTACCTATATCTATACCAGAATCTATATTCTACTACTGTGAACCCCCAAAATTTCACGAGCCGCCTCTGATGCTGATGATACGCAAATAAGGTTTTCTTTATCTGATTGTAATGTTACTCTCACTAATGAAATGATTAAAACATAATTAATAAGAATCGTACATTTTTGTAACAGACATCAGCTATCAATCCCGCAAAAACACAAATACAGTTTATCTATGGTATTTGGTAAAAATAAAAAAGAACTAACAGAGCATTAATCTGTTAGTATTGATGGTGTCTTGCTGGCTTGTGTAGATGTTGCCAAAAATCTGGGTCTTCAACTTGATAAAGTAATGTAAATAATTGCTTGCTTACGCTGATTTGAAAATGCTTTACCCGCATCGCCATGTTTTAGATCAAAATACAAAAATACTACTCTGTGATACTATGGTTCTCAGTCATTTTAATTACTGTGATGTCGTCTACGAGCCTTGTATTGACTATGTGGATATTAATTGTATTCAAAGAGTCCAAAATTCTTTTCTTCGCTACATATCGTCGCCCTTTTCACGAAGTGGCATAAGTAGCAAATAGTAAATTTTACAGAAAGCAATAAATCGAAAATACGTAATTCTCAGATCTCAGATCGACATAATATAGAGCGATTTTGAGTTTGCGCTTTCAAAATTTTATCATGGAATTCTAAGGCCTTGTTTTATTATTTGGTAATTCCAGATTAGCCAAACTCCTTCGGGATTTAAAAAAAAATTAAATTAGTCGGTTATGCCACTTCGTGACAAACAATTTTCTCACTTTATTAAGTGTTTAATGTTTTAATTAAAAAAAATAAACAACTGAAAACCAATTATTAAAAAGAGTTGGAATTGGGTTTAAAACCATCATTCTTCATGAGGTAATTCCTGATAATATTTCTGCAATTCAGGTAATCGAACCACGGGCATTTGACTTTGACTTACGAAGATTAGGTCAGAATACTTCTTGCTTGTTAGTTTTACTGGTTCTGTGTTGAGAGATTCTAATTTAATATCACAAATAATTTCTGTCAGTCTTTTTATTTCAATACTGTCATACTCTTTATGGTAATGACTTAGTTTGAAAAACAAAATAAAAGGCATGTCTCTTCGGACTATAAATTCTATAATTTAAGTCCACTTTAAATTTTCTCCTGACGAACTTTTATAAAATCCAAGAAATGTGAGTACTTCGTTGGAATGACGACCTAAGGTTGTTTTTATTGGGTACAGATCGCCAACACCTATTATGGCAGTATATATTGTACTACGAGCAGAGTCCCCCCTCACTCTGCCCATGTTTTTTTTTTCTCAATTATCAAAAGATTTTTATTCTGGCCATAGCAGCCGTCCGAGTGGAAAGAAAGGGTAGTAATTTGGTCTTTATTCGTAAAATATTCCAAAGATTTATAAATACGTGTAGAGATTTCAGAAGAATTTCTGTTACTCAAGGTTTTATTCAATGGAAAGAAAAGACATTCGTTGGTACCAATATTGTAAAAAGTAAAGTTAAATGTTGCTAATCTTGTTTTGAAGTAAATAGCATTTCTCTTTGCTTCTTAGCAAGTATATAACTTGTTTTAAATCGAAAATCCCACAGAGAAATGATTTGTTTTCTATTGTTCTTTTTCTGTCTACATCTTTTAACTTTCGTACTTTTGGTTTTCTGCAATATGTCGTGTGTACTTGTCTTTTAAATTTATTTACTTTTATTATTATAAGTTCCGGTTATCTTATGAATAAACATACCTCCTATTAATTTCTTGATATATTTATTATCCAAAGGTCCATATTTCTTTCTCAGCAACTAGTTGTTATGCTTAGACACCAAAAATATTTAACTGCTTCTAAGTTACTCGAAATCCACTTTTATAACCACTAGTTGTTAGAGATTTTTTTTTAGAGAAATCTTATTTTTTCAAAGTGGTAACATTACAACTGAACTTGGTCTAAGCCAGTATTTCCCAAAGTTGTCCAGGTGGACCCCCCCAGGGGTCGACGGGAGACTCGACGGGGTCTACGTTGGGCGTAATAAAAAATGGGGGTCCACAATCGTAAGCGGGGGTGCATGAAAATTAATTTGGTTTCGATAGTGAAGCAATATACTATTAAACAATTGATTACTTATTTTTCCATGTGATGAAGAAATTCTTGTAAAATATTTCAACTGTCAACATTTTAGTTACTAAAATGTTGACTTGACTTCTCTTATCAATATAGGCAAATAATATTTTAAGAAGCTCAGCGACTGTTACTTGTAAAAACTTGCATATTCCATATTTAGTACAACGCGTCGAGACTTGTCATTGCCGCGCCGGCCGCCGTCCCGTCCGCAACGCTTGTTCGGACGTGAAAATTAATACGACTTGTGGTGTATGTGCTTGCAATCTTGCATGAACGTGTTTGATTCTTTACCAATATAAATACGAATGTCAAGGATAATCGTTACTCATTTGTTTCTGGAATTTCATAAAGAAAAGTGAATCGATATTAATGTTAGCCAGTTACTAAATTTGTTTCCAGACTTTCGAAAAGAAAAGTAAAGTGAATCGATATTAGTGTTGGCCAGTGACTGAATTTGTTTTCAGACTTTCGAAAAGTAAAGTGAATCGATATTAGTGATTGCCAGTGTCGGAAAAGTAAGTACCTACTTCCCTATTTGTTATATGCATATAGTTTTAAGCCGAGAAAGATTGAACTTACCGTTCCTACTTTATTTTTATTACCTATCTAATTTATTTATTTGCGGAGTTTTGATATCAAAATATTGTATAAAAATTTCTATAGAATTTACAGAAATTTATTAAAATATAATAAATTAAATAATAATTTTATATCACATTAAAATAAGTTCAGCCGTTTTTGTAAAACTCTATTATGGATTTTAGCGATCTTATTGCTTTTAATAATTAGAAATAGTTTGCAGCCGGAACTTTGTTTATTTCATATTATTTATAATAATTGCTTATTCATATTATGTTAAAATAGCCATATCCTGTTAAGTTCGAATCGCCTTAAGATTACTAAAACAAAGTTTTTTCTTATTTATTTACTTACACATTTACAGGTAAGTAATTGATACAAAATATGGCCGAATCTAAGAAGTGTCGTCAGCACAGTGTTGAATATTTAAAATTTGGTTTTCTTCCATCAAAGGCAGACAAACGATTGCCTACATGCCTTTTATGCAACAAAGTTTTGAGCAATGACTCTATGAAACCATCAAAGCTGGAAGATCATCTAAGAAGGTGTCATCCTGATAAAATAGGTAAAGGTTTCAAATATTTCCAAACAAAAGGAAACATATGAAAAGAGACCCACCGTGCACAGTATGTTCTCTTCAACGTCTGAAAGCAACGATGATGGCTTGTGGGCATCTTACAATATCTCATTACTTATCGCAAAATCTGGAAAACCGCACGCCATTGGAGAACAGTTAATTTTACCTGCTGTTGAAGAGGTTTTAAAAACTGTTCTGCACGAATCTTCATTTGACATACTCAAAAGAATTTCTTTGAGTAACAACAGTGTACAAAGACGTATTGATGAAATGAGCTCTGATGTTGAAAGTTTTTTGTGTAATTATCTACGAACAACTCATTTTTCTATTCAACTGGACGAGTCAACTTTACCTGGCAATGAATCATTATTATTGGCATATGTTCGATTTGTTATGGGCGAAGAAATTCATGAAGAGCTACTATTCGCAAAAACTTTGAAGACGGACACTAAAAGTGAATCAATATTTAATGTTTTGAGTGATTTTTTTAAAGAAAAATCGATTCCATTCACAAACGTTATTTCGGTGGCAACAGATGGAGCTCCTGCCATGGTCGGACGATATCGTGGGTTTATAAGCCACCTTAAAAGAATTATACCAGAGGTAATTGCGATAAGGACGGAAATTTGACCATTGCCGATTCGCCTCCTCTCTAGTCTTCATAATCGTGACATTTACGTGCCATGACAGATAATGACATTTAATATTAGTATTTCTTCTTTCCCAATTAAAAAGAGGTTATTTTATGTTCGTTACGTGCGTACGCCAGAGCCCGTAAGCTTACGTATGTACGTAAACGTGAAGGATATTTGAATACGCATCCGTAGATGTCAGTTTTCACGTATACGTTTACGTTCATGGCATTACTTCAACTCTCTTGTTTGTAAGAAATGAAAAACATATATAAACTTATGAAAAATTATATATTACATCGAATATATGTACATTCTTTTATAAATTAAAATGGTAAACAAATAAACAAAATAGAAATAAATAATAAAAATTGAGTATCAGTCGAAAATCCCCTGTTAGCGTGCGATCTAAAGAAGAGGCTGGTTCGTTTTTTACCTAAAAGAAACAGAAAAATGTTTTTATTTTAGTTTTTACTTATAAATCTATAAAAGTTTTGGTAACTAAAGCCCATCATATAGATCCTAGAATAATTCAAAATAAAATAGAATTTAAACAAAAGAGTCAAAAACATTTTTATGATAAAAATACCAAGGATATTTCAAAATTACAGACTGGAGAAAATATCCTAATACAAAAAAGATAAAATCTGGGAAAGAGGAAAGGTGGAATATGTTGTGAATGACGGTTCTAATATAGTTAAGGACTCCCAAGGTAATATACTATATAATACTATATAATAAAACTAATCTGCCATATATTAATAATTCTTTATTATTTGATGTTAATTTAAATATATTTGGACACTCTACCTATTGTTAATTTGAGTGACTTAATTGATATCACTGAGATGTTAATTCAATAGACAATACTAGTTGTGTAACTTCTAGCAATAGTGATACAGAACCTACTTATCTATCGGAAGCATCAAATGAACCTGATTTATCCCTAATTATCAGTACTAAAAGACAACGAAAGCTGCCTGGTCATTTACAAGATTGTTTAACAAATTTTAACTCTCATGATCAATCGAAAGATCAATCAGATGATTGCGATGCTTCTTCTTATGCCTCATGTTCTTTTTTTTTATTTTGTATATACTGGTATATTTTCAAAAAAAAGGCATATAATACCTTTTTAATTCGAATTTATTCGTTATTCAAATCCTATTTCGTTGCATAGTAGTGAAAAAAGCTTAAATATGTTCGACACAGTTCCTTCATCCAGGAGTCTAGTTTTCTGGGTTTGTCTTTACCACTGGTTTACATGAACCCAAATACAGTCCCTTCAATCTAAATGTACCATAACACATAGATCACACAATATATTGTAATTAAGTTATTATTACGTATTTATGTTTTTAAGTTATTTTAATAACACTATTTCGTTGCAAAGTATACTTATAATTTATCACTTAATACAATATTCAAAAATAAGAACAAGAGACGAAGAAGTCGGACATAATAAACATATAAATAAAAAAATAGATAGTAGGTACCTTAGGAAAGGCAGACAAAAACCAAAAACAATAAAGAGCGTGTTTCTTAATTAATTACTTACTTTTTTCGTTCGGATCTTTGGTTCCACAAAGTCTATAAGCAATTTTAACTTTTCTTTTTTCATTTATGAAGCCTGGAATAAATAAACTTGGAGCATCCAATCGTCCAATAGATAGTAACCTGTTGAAATCTTGTTCCAATTTGTCAGCTATCGGACCCTTAAAGTGCAACAATAGTTGGATACAAGCATCGTTATGTAGGGACCTGGTTTTTCTACTGTCAACTGTTAGGAACCATTCGGGGATTCCCATTACATCTCGGATGTCTTCAATGAATTGTGCACTGAAATAATATTTATTTTTGATACTGGAAACTAGATATGTGTGAGTTTAGGATAAGTTTAGGTCAAGAAAAGAGAAGTCATTTGAATTTCACATAAATATATAGGTATTTTATTAAAAATGTTAATTTAATTCAATTCTTTATTGATCTCCGATATTTAAAGACATGAGACAAGTCAAGTTTACAAATATTTAAACAATAAAAAATAAGACAATAGAATTAAAAACAATGACAGTTTAGGTAAGTAGTAAAAATTACATACAAAACTATCACAATTTTTATGGAGCATCGAATGCCGTAGTTTAGGCAAAATTAATATATTTTTACTATTTCATAGCATTTTGAATTGAGTAAAGGAGCCAGATGTCCAAATGATGAAGGACCAATTGGCCAAATGGTAAAAAACCCATTGAACACATGATAAAAGATCGATTGGCTATAAAAAGGACAAAATTGTCCACATGATATAGGACAAAATCAACCACATGATAATGGATCCTTTATTTTTAAGGGTTTAATGTTCTTCGTGTACGAAACCCTATAATATCGAAAAAGAACGACTGACAACGGTCTATAATTCACAAGACAAGCGTCCTGTGCACGTGTTATCAAGCAAGTACTTGAAGGGAGAACATGTGGGAGTTACTCCAAATCAACAAGCACCGGTAACAAAGTACGTTCAGTTAGAATCAGGAACAGCTCTAGTACTACTCGCGAGTAACTCAGATGACATAAAAGAAAGCACTTATATATGCTAAAGGACTGTAATTGTCCTTAGCTTTTTTGCCTATGACAACCTGACGTCCTGCAAGGTAAAAAAAACAAAAAATTATTGTTAAAATAGTATCAGCGATAGTATAAGTAAAACGATTATATTTTGAACATGGTATCGGACATCGAAAACCTTCCAATACCCCTTGACACAAGTGCTTGTGAAAATTACCGAAATTCAGCACTAGAGCAAGCAGGACAGGAACAATAACAGCGATCCCAGTCTATACGGCTCAGTCAACGTTACAACGCGGTCGGGTTGTATAAATAGCAACGCTGACATCATTTGCTTCATGCTGGCTCTAATGCAAACTTTCTGCAGCTTTCAAACGCTATTGTGCGTCGCGTATTGGAAAACTTTCAGTATCCAACACCGTGAACCGTCTTACATGTAAAAGCTATACCAGCAAGCTCTTAAATAAAGCACTATATAGCGTGCATTTTATGTATTTATTAAATTACTTCAACTGCAACTTTCAGCATGAACAATGGATCTAAACTCTAACGTCTTGGTGTGAGCGAATAACATCTAACTACTTGTAAAGTTATAAATAAAGTTTCAGTTCTATTTCCTGAATATTACCGACATTCAATAATTATACCTTCCTGGGAAAAAACATTCAGGCACGCCATTGGTACGAGCTTGTATTTCAAGGCCACTTGTAGAATGTTAAAATCAATAGTTTCGCTCTTGCGCGGTCTTACGATGAAATTTGCCATTTAAGGGTGAGATTACAGAACGTCTGCAACTTTGCAGATCTGCAAATATGGCGGACTTAAAAATGCAAGTATTCCAAAAAATATCTGCAAATTCGCAATATTTATTGTGGTTTATTACCCCCAACAACACTAAACCCAATTTGGAATACGAAAACTTGATACTTGCATGTGTAAGTCAGTCATATTTGCAGATTTTCAAAGTTGCCGCCATATTTGTAGATCTGCAAAGTTGCAGACGTTCCGTAATCTCACCCTAAGTAGGCTTTCCGAATGATCAGTCGTTCTTTTGCTGGGTGGAGGTTGTGTTCGGCAACTAAAGGTAATTATTTAATATATTTGGGTATTTAGAATTGCTTACTAAGTGATTACAGGTTTAACATCTCGTTTGTAGATTATTTCGTGATTTTTTTTAGCTTGTTAACATTAAATGTTTTTTTATAGCTAACATGCCATGAAAGTCCCCATTTTTGGTTTTTATATCTAGGTAAAGCAAAGCTAAAACCTTTATATGAATAACTTAAAAAAAATTTCAATCATTATCTTTGTTATCTACGCTCTTAAGTAGGCAAATGAATTATTTTTTTATTTTTTTTTTCCTCGGTACTTAGGCCTTTGAGGAAGAACAGCTTATGCTGATCAAAGGGCCTATTGACCTTTTTTCTTGTTAACAAAAATGGATATTCATAAGGATATGCATGTAAAATGGAATTTGTATTATTTGTTTTCAAAGGTCAATAAAAATAATAATTATTATTATTATTATATTCGTTTTTTCCATCTTTTAAGAAGGTAACTGAATACTGTTGCGTATCTAATCAATCGCTGTAATGTTAATAATTGATTTATATTAAATGTACTTATTTTGGTACTTTCTTTTTTTGTAACACATGTTAAGAGTTGAAAAAGTGTTCTTTATATAAGTGACTGACACCGTGTTTTTCTTTAAAAAAGTGATACAAAGGCCAATAAAGAGGTACAAAAGCCAATAAAGAGGTACAAAGACCAATAAAGAGGTACAAAGATCAATAAAGAGGTAAAGCGGTTACAATAAAGACGTACCGTGCTAAAGCCGAACGAACAAGGATATAATAAATGAGAATATCCAAGCAGTAGAATAGACCGTAGACCTGTAGAACACCGCCATTAGAGCAACCAGACACCTGAAGCATCTCTTTATCAACGTCCCAGTTAAAGTTGGAAAATCCTCGAGCGTCCAACCGAGCCAGATAAGTTTTTTTAGTATTTAATGTCACAAAGTCACTTTGTAGTCCGTTCAATTTAATTCAATCTACATTAATTGTTTGTTGTTAAAACCCTTCAACTGTAAGATTTGTTCAGTACATATTAGAACCTGTTCAGTACATTAAACTCACTATATTTTAATTTAATTCTTTTAATTTCTTCCTTACTTTCAACTTGCAAATTAATGGAATAATTTGTATTTATTAACTATCTAAATACATGGCGTCCTTAACCATTAATATATCTTTTTAAATAAAGATAGTGCCATTAATTTGTTAGTCAAATTCTAAGCCGAATTTCACCGACCCTGATGAGCTAGGCCGAGGGTAACATTTCTGACACCCAACTTGTCATGTAACACATTTGACACCCAATTTAAGTATCACGTAGTATACTGACAGCTGATCGTACGCTATGGCTAACGTTACGTTGCCGTAATTATTAACATACAATAGATACATATCCAAACGAATTCTTAATGATGGAATAAACCAATAATTAAAGATCCCAAAGTATTGATTATACTTACACAACGAATCGGGGAGGTTTTTCAATGTTTGCATATTTAATAATGTCATAATCCGGTTCAATATTTGCACACGCAAATCTTTCCGGTCTTTTGTCGGGAGCTAATATTACTATAGATTTCCCGACAGCAGTCACATCACCTTCCAATGGGAAATTGGAATCGGTAAAAACTTTTCTTCTGAGACCGATATCGATAGTTCCGAGCCTAGCCGAAAGATCTCCCACGTGGCATCTCAGTGGATTTTCTGGTCCACACTCTTGACGGTAGAGGTCTTCCTGTAAAATCAAATTTTGTGAAAACGGTAAAAAAATTGCTTAGTTCTAAGATGATACGTACGTTTAGGGGATCGGCTAGTTGTGTAAAAAATGGGTTCCAAACATATCCACCAGCAACACATCTAGTACCAGTAGTCTTAACAGTAGCATCAACTCCCACTGGATTAACAAAAATAGCCCAGTTATGTTCTCTTGTCTAAAAAAATATTTCATTATTAAATATTGGGTCACTAAATTGCTTTTACAGATGCTATTAGTACACAAAAAATGAAAAATTCCTTTTTTTTAATGCGATGGTAATTAATGCATAATTAAGTGATCATTAAAGAAGCTTTTTGTAATACTTTTTTTAATCGATTTTCTCTAGAGAAATAGTCGCTGATATTTGGTCTAGGGAGATAGTCAAGGGTAATAGACCTTGATAATAATCGGCTATTTTTGTTGAATCTAAATCTCGAGAATATTTTAATATCAATTTGATGAGACATAATTTTAGGTATTAATAATCTGATTAGAGCCCGAGAGCCTTAGCTCAAGGGCTTTAATCAATTGATTATTAACAACAAAAATAGCAGAATATTATTCAAGGTCGTGTTATATTTGGAACGACTATTTTACTAGACCAAATATTGACTATTTCTCTAGAGAAATAGTCGCTGATATTTGGTTTAGGGAGATAGTCGTAATTATGACAATCTATGACACACAAGAAAATATTAAATCCCTAGGAATGATGTTGGGCACCCTATCACGGCCACAATATATTGAATACTAGTATGTACGTCAAAAATTATCTATACCAACGTACACATTAATTGTTTAAAAAAAAATGTTAATTTTCAATTTTAAAAATGGCCTACCGTTCTATCATTGAGAGTCATATTAGATATATGGAATTATTTTGGTTTGGAACTGCATTGAGATCGAAAAACTATTTTTTTGTCAAAAAAGAGCGTTGAAAATAATATTGGGAATGAAAGAAAATTCAAACAGCACAAAATATTGACCACAACTGCAATCTTTATTTTTATTCGACCAACATCAACCTAAGATTAACTACGTAACCATGTCAATAAACTATGCGTATCCATACCATAGACTCTTTATGACAGAACATCAAGATATTATGTATGTATCCGAATTTATAATAATCTTTCTTCAAAATTAAAACTAAAAAGAAATTTAGTCTAGCTCATAGTTGAGTTTAAACCAAATTATTGTCGTGCGAACCATTTTAAACTCGTCCAGACCTGCTTCTGTTGTTGCCAGCTCGTCTATCAGTCCACTTACATGAAGTTTCTCGAGTTGCCCTCAGCCATCTAAAATTTACAAGATGTAGTGACGAAGGCATTAAGTGTGTCTTTTTATTCAACTGTTGCAGCAAGGTTGGCATCGGTGGAGTATCTACCTGTCTTTTTTTATCCATCTATCAGTGATGAACTAACAGCGCTGTCTTTTTATCCAACGTTGATGTAATCGATGCAACACCATTCCATCAGTTTCAATGTATGGTTTTTCCGATTAGATGTGACAACTGACAATTGGATTGCGGGAATTAATCAGAATTAAGGAGTTAATTAATTATTTAATTGTTTTTTTGTGGAAAAAATCGAAAAAATGAGCTTTTAGAAAATATACGTTCAAATTAAAGTACATAGGTAAATTTAAATAAAATTATAGACACAAATTTTAATCCAAAGTGTCAACTGTTATTTATTTTAACGGTCAACCATAAATAAATCGAATCCAATACAAGTAGCTCTAAAAATTATAGAACAATGGTGCAACGACCATTCACTGTCTATCAATCCTAAGAAGACAGAAATGGTCCTTTTCACAAGGAAAAGGATGAAAATGGAATTAAAACCTCCAGAACTCCTAAACACAAAACTAAACTTTGCAACAGAGGTGAAGTACCTAGGGTCTCACCCTTGACAGCAAGTTAACATGGAACTCGCATTTAGAAAACAGAGTTAAAAAAGCATACATTGCTTGTGAACAATGCCACCGAACCGTGGGGCTCACCTGGGGTTTCTCCCCCAGAGTCGTCTCATGGACTTACACGGCTATCATGACCTATGCTAACATACGGTGCATTGTCTGGGTACCGAAAACCCAAAAATTAACAGCTATCCATAAACTAGAACAAATTCAAAGAACAGCATGTATCAACATAACAGGAGCCATGAAAATAACACCGATTAGAGCCATAGAAGTCGTTCTTAATGTCACTTCCCTTGATATTTACATCAAGGAGGCTACTCTGACGACAATAAAACGCCTCCGCATGATTGGAATAGAACCTGATGTAGGATATGGTGAGACGGGACGTCACTTTTGGCAGGAGGCGCTCGATACGCACCCACTGCTTCAAGCGAACATGGACTCCATCTCACCGAAATATATCTTTCATAAGCCATATAAAGTTATAATAGAACAAATAGAAGAGCCGGAAGTGGTAGGTACGATTCATATCTACACCGACGGTTCTAAAACAAAACAAGGCTCAGAATGTGGAATATACTCCAGATTCTTAAACCTAAACATAAAATGGGCTGTGAGCAATAGTGTAGTGTAGTTCAAATAGAGATAACGGGGATTCTCATAGCAGTAAAAGAAATAACCAGAAACAATATCACTGGAAGGAACATGATCATCTATACAGATAGCAGACAAGCACTACTCACCCTCAACAGACCACAAATTTATTCAGGGTTAGTACTAGAATGTCACGAAGCTTTGGCCGAAGTATCCATCAACAATGTGGTCACCTTAAGATGGATTAAAGGTCACGCCACATCGAAAGGTAACCGTCTTGCTGATTCACTAGCCAAGAAAGCAGCCAACCAAATACTTTTTCGACCTGGCCCTTCTATTGGCCTGACAAAATCGGTAGTGACAGACTTAATCAAAGAACATTCCTTTGTGAAATTCAAGGAAAGATGGGATGAAACAAGAAACTGCAGAGTTGCCAGTAAGCTCATAAATTATCCTGAAAACACTGCAGCAAACAAATACTTGACTGTGACTAGACAGAATCTGTGCCTAGTCACAGGCATTCTGACTGGACACTGCCAAGTACGAAAGCATCTCCATATCATGGGGCTGTCAGAATCCGCACTCTGCAGAGGGTGTGAACAAGAAGATGGGACCATCGAGCATATCCTTTACGATTGCTCGACGTTCTCATTTATTAGAAGATTTGTCTTCGGCGAGTATCGGCTAACACCGGCCGATATAAAAGAAGCACCTCTTGGTGACGTTGTCAACTACATTAAACCTGTAGGCTGCCTCACGAGCCAAAAGGTGCCTATCATCTCAGGAGTATGCACAATGGGCCTAATGAGACCTAAGTGCCGTGGGGTAACCCACCCTCCACACGTTCCAGATACAGATCTCTAAATAAACTCGACTTTAATTATCGACGCGTGACCTTGAAATTGACAAAAATTGCCAGAAAGAATCTTATCGATTTCCCATGTTAATTTGCATATGGAATGAAGCTGAATTGTTGCTGTTCCTTTATTTCTATCCGGAAGACATTGATGCCAAAACCAAGGATTACATGACATGCCGAATTGTTTGAAGAAGAACCAGCAGAAAGTTAAAACAAAGTAATAAAAAGTTTTTTTAACCGTGAAACCTTTAACCAGTGTTGGCTCGTGACCATTGGGAATTTACAATGACAGAATATAGATCTTATTACAGATGTAGGTAAAAAGCTTTCCGTGTTTTAGATTCAACCGGAAATAAAATTGCAACTCGAAATATCGTAAAATTTTCATTATCCTTCTCCCGAAAATAGAATTTGGATCGCAACTTTAATATTATGAAATATTTTTTATTAAGACTACTTTTTTGGCAAAAAAAATAATTAAATTAATTACAAAAAAAAGAATGCCAAGCGGGAATTTCGAAAATTTGATTTTAAGCTTCTTTTATGGCCACCTAACGATTCATAAATTAACATCGCTTTAATTTTTTTTAGTAGTCCAATGTCCAATAGATTAGGAAAAAATGTGGAAAGATAAAAGAAGTAGATAAAATGTTAATCTTAGGCATTGTTTTAGTTATATAGAAAGGGCATTTTAATGAAAAAGGTTAAAAAAGTTTCTTTCTAATTCACAAATATTATAGTTTAGCCTTTAACTTACCACGTTTCGATCATTTTTGCCAGGATGTCTTAGTTTAACTTCAATAGTGGTGTCACTTGCACTTCCATCCGTGTGAATTAATTGTCTCTATATATATATAAAAAAAAGCGATATTAATACACAATCTTTTTTTTTCTAGAATGAAAAAGAAATGTCCTCCTCATTAACGAAGTGATCTAGAAAAACCTGACGATCTTCAAAAAAATAAAAATTCTGCCAAATGCAAAAGTTGTACAATAATTTTCCGTACATCAGTTGTTTTAAACTAAGTAGATAAGTTGAAAAATTTAGGCCAGGCGCTCATACAAAGTATCAGTACTGTAGAGCTTTCTTCTTTTTAAGGATTAAATAATGGAATGCAATCTTTATAATATTAGTTCAATCTACATCGTACATAACTTATTGTTACAGTAGGAAATCAAATACTATTTAGGATATAGATAGGTGTCTTAGTAATCAGTTTCAACAAACAAAACAAACTATTTTTGCTCTTATTTCTAAGAGGTTGGTGGTAAATGTAAAGGGTTCGAATTATTCAAAAGTTCTAAAATATATGTACTCACCATTTTCATATAACCAAAAGCAAAACCATTGGGATTGTGGAATGATGCAATAGCCCTAAGTTCTCTTGCTTCAGATGGACTGTATCCCCTTTCAATAGTTGAGCAAGCCCATCGTCTTAAATTCTGCAAACATATATTACTGCAATTCACGCACCAGTTATATAAATATAAAAATACATAAGATTTAGCTGCTGATATCGAATTACAGGTGAAAAGTACAATATTCTAACACAGCGATTCCAACAATGGGTTCCGTGGAAGAACATTTTTATATCGTTGGTATAAAAATATGAAGCAAACTTGTTCTAACAAATTTTACATAATCGTAAAAAAAATTAATGGGTGTACCTAAATTTTACAAAAAAATTTCCTCAAATGTTATAAGTTGCATTTTCATTTAATAATGGATAAATAATATATTGGGTGTCCAAATTTGACATTCCGATTTAAATTGGCCGCCATTTTTAGTAATCTTCATTGGCAGTATTTCTATAGTGACATATGTCAAGTAAAAACTTTGCGGATACTTGTTTTTTGGTCAACATGGAACCCCGTTTTTATTGTAAAAACTTATTACGAAAATAGGGAATGTTTTGCTGAAACTTGCAAGAAGATACCTTACGCATTTCGGAAGAAATTTAGCAACATCTGTTAAAATTATTGTGAGGTTTATGAAGAGATTTCAACAGCAGAATATGGGGTGAAGAAAATCAAAAGAAATATTGAAAAAAACGACTGTATCCAGTAAATGTGACTGTGTGGTGTGGTTTTTGGTCTAGTGGCGTTATTGGTCCTTATTTTTTCCAGAAAGAAGCTGGTGATTCGATAACTGTGAATGGAGCGCGATACAGGACAATGAATACGAGATTATTTGTGGAACGACTTAGAAGATATGGATGTCCAGAGCATGTGGTTCCAGCAAGACGGTGCCACTTGTCATACATCGGATAAAACACTTAATCTTTTAAAGGAGAGATTTGGCATTCGAATAATTTCTCGAAGAGCAGAGGTTAATAAAATTGTCCGCCTTACACCCTTTGATTATTTCTTGTGGGGCTTTTTGAAGGGAAAAGTTAATGCTAATAATCTTCAAGCACCTGAAGAGCTTCGTGTTAACATTATTCAAAAAATTGAAGAAATTGAACAAAATGTTTGCGAAAATGTTCTTGAAAATTATGTAAAAAGAATGCTAGCATGCTAAAGAAGCAGAGAGGTCACATGCCGGATATCATTTTTGATTATTAACCGTAACATTTAAGCTTTAAAATAATACAATAATATCATATTATTTCAAGGAATTTTTGTGTTTTATTATTAAAATAAATCCGAAGGTCAAATTTGGACACACTTTAGATAAACTTTGAACAATACATATTCTATAATAGTAAGAAGTTATTATTTTTTACTACAAATGTTAAATACATCGTTCTACCCCACGTTCCTCTACTTAATTCCCAAAATTTTATTTTTAAAATTCTTTAAATTTGTCCACGTCCTTAATTAAAAGCGTACTAAGAAAGATACATTACCTTCTTGTAAATAACTATTGATCTTCCTAAAATACTTCTCGGACCAAATAAAGTCAATAAAGTGTCGTTATAATAGGTTTTATGCAAAGTTTGGTTTTGTAAATTTCCAAACTTTCCGCTTAAATCGCCAGCTTCATATTGATCAGGTGTGCCGTGATATGCTCGAGGTGATGACGTATGATCAACATTTAAGGGATTCCATGTTCCGTATAGAGACGTAGCCTCACAAGGGAATTCCAGATTTTCTTCTACTGGAGTCTGAAGACAAACAATAAAAAAAATGTCAGTTATTTGAAACATTACAAAACATAAATAGGACAATGAACAACTATTAGATACAATTTTGGAAATATGAAAATGAATAATCACAAAAGAAAAAAATGAGTACATCGGCCAGGAGTCGAACCTGGGACTTTGGACTTGAGCTGTCCATACTCTTACCAACTGAGCTACTAACTAGGCTTAGATTTTCGAATTCGTATCTGAAGTCAATCAAATTCCGACTCTCGTCGGTGCACACCAATTTTCAACCCATTTCAGCTCCCTCAATTCTTCTAAAGCCACCCCTGTGACATCGTGTAGAAAGAACAACAATCTAATAATTGTACTAGAATACATTTCTAATATTCTTCATTTATTTACCCATACAGCACAAGACGTCCGGAAGACGTCTTTTTTGTCTTGGTTTGGTCTCAATGTCTTAGGACGTTATTAATACATCTTATAAAACGTCTGGTATAACAACTAATTTTTTATTACTCACCATATGAATATGATAATCTATTACATTAGACAAGCCTTCAAAACCAACTTCAACGTCAGTAATGTCGTACTCAGTTTGTTGAATAAATTCTATTTTGCCTTTGATCGTTAGTTCAAATCCATTTGGAAACCAATCTCTAGCTACTGCTTTTCTTCTGTAAACACCTCCAATACTAAAAGTAAAAATAGTAATTTTAATTTATTTAAATTTCTTAATAGTAGATAATTTAAAGAATCTTACATTGAGCATGCTAAACGTTCTCCTCTAGCCTCTGGACCATGATCATCATAAAGAACCAAAGATTTTCCCAAAATATTATGGAATCCACTCAGCGGTAACAATGGATCTGTCCAAATTTTTCTTGAAATTTTATCACTGTCTACTATTTTTCCAGATATTTCTAACGTGCCTTGACGCGTTGACATATCTCCCAATCTACATAGTCCTATACTATCCATGTTACATTTATCGGGTGAAGTTCGATTATCAAAATCTACCTAAAAAAAAATATATGTTACTGTGTATATTTCATTAATATAAGTTTGTAGGTTAGATTGGGTTTAACATCTTTTATTATGACCCACTTTTCAATCAGAACACATTAAAATAACATCCTGTATATCAAAGTTTAATTTATTTCGACCTAAATTAAACAGTTATCTAGTTCGTTGTTTAATTAATTAGCTAAGTTTTATTATCTTATTTATAATATTGTTATTATTATTGATGTCTGTATGTTTCGTACCTTATAAGGATTAAAAACATCCCCAGCACTCAGACATCTGGCAGTCCAATTGTAAAAGTCCTTTCCTGGAGGTAGATCGTGAATAGCCCATCGATGATCTTTAGAATTATTTAATGCTGCACCATCAGCATGCACTAGATATTCTATAAGTACGGTCGTATCTGCCCACGGTTCGTCTTTGGCTTGTCTCAACAACATCCTTCCCACTGTGGGATAACGGAAAATAACTTGGGCCGTAAAAATTTGCTTTTGAAATTTAAAATTTGATTCGTAGAGAGTAATCCCACCACATATCCATGGTTCTGCAACTAGCTCTGATGATGAATATTGAGTATTTCTGAAAAAATGTAATGTATTACCTATCGAAGAACTATTTCAATATCATGAGGTATAGTAAAACGAGAGATATAGTGACTCTCATAAATCATATTAGCCGACGACCCTCATTATCACTATTGTTCGATTTGTAGATAAGCGAAAAAATTGCCTGTTGGTTAAAAGATTCCCAGGTCCAGATTAAAATATATATTCTCATGAAATAGTAGAGAATATGTTTTTTAATAATATTATAATTAAGGACTCTCTATTTCAATTGTTAACATTTTATAATAAAAAATTTCCTAGAATTTAAAGTACTTACTTATAAATACAATTTACTTGCCTGGCCATCTGACTTTCTGTACTTAAGGAGATTAGCGATAATGGGATATAGAGTTACAAATAAATTACCAGACTTTGAAGACGAGAATACTATTGTTTAAGCTATCGAGTCCTATAATTCCAGACAAGAAGACATAAGGAGAAGCTGAAAAACTCGACCAAAACATTGACAACAGACGGTGAAAAATCAGAGAAGGATCAAAGTCCCAGAAGCCCAATCACCTTTAAAATTAAGAGAACTATCCACCATCCGTATACACCAAAACCTAACCCCTCGTCACGCCGGGAGTCAAAATCCTTAAAGACAACGGATCCACGAACATTTTTTTACGAATCACAGAAAAAAGTTTGAAGAAAGCTAGTAATGGCTCTAGCAGCCAAACGGACCTAAAAAAAGCTATCGAGGCGGTTTTGCAACATACCCCAGGGGCTGGTAGGGAAGATACCACCTCCAGGGAAAAATATCCACTAACTTTAAAAATGGGGGAGAAAAATCCATTTTTCACACTTCCCTCCGGGAAGGGTAATAACGTGTACGAGGACCTTCCTATGACGGTAGATCCCCTAGTAATGAAGAGATGTCAGCGGTATTAACATCGTTAGTGAAGCTAATCAGATCGTGAGTGCGGATAACCCCAATAAAACAAAAGACACTAAAAAAAGTGAGACCCGCGAAAGTGCAATTAACCCCAAAAACAGTGCTGCAACCCCTAATAACGAAACCGCGGATAAGTTCGAGTCCGCGTATAAAACCCTACCACTCCCCAGTTCGTAAATGAAAGAGTTCTAAACTTTTGAACGGACCTACATATAACCTCCAGTGAAGAGGAGAACAAATGCTCCAGGAATAAGCCGACAGGAACAATATCTAAAAAACAAAGTGAATTGCATCCCCCAACACCGAAACAAAACATACTACAATCACTAAAGACAGTTGCCACCTATCCCAAAGCCACTTCTCCCAAAGAGGAAACACCCCTCACCAATCGCAGAAGAAGACGAAGAGGGATACGAATCAGACACAGTTGATAATGACGGGTTTCAAAAGCCAAAAAAAAATACAAAAAGTTCAAAACGAACTTCGTAAAACTAATGGAGCGAAAAGTTGCAGCAACAATACCGACTAGCAACAGATACGACTCCCTAAGCGAAAGCGAGTCAGAACAGGAGCAAATCACAGTGCTCCCAGCCACAACAAAAGGGAAAGCAACCCCGAATCTGCCGATAAAGGGCAACTCTACGTCTAGTAGTGCTAAAACCGCCAAAGAGGCACCCAAAATGAATAAAAAATCAACTATTCCCCCCATAGTCGTAGATGGACGCACAGACAACCATGCTACCCTTACAAGTGACCTCAAAGCCATAGTCAAAGGCAAATATTCAGTGAAATATACCAACGCTACAACGGTTATATTCACTGAGGACATGGAAGACTACTTGGAAGTATCAAACAAGCGGAAGTTCCTCACCACACTTACACAAGCAAATCGAAAAATAAACACGCGTTTGTCTTGAGACACACAAGATGGCTGACTATTCTTGGAGCATTCAGAACAGTTCTATGGGTTCAACCTCTTCAAGGAAGTCTTTAAAAGAAAGTTTTTTCACCTTAACCACTAAATAAAATATGATGATTAACTTTAAACAAATTGTGTCTAACTATGAAACGGCCATGTGTCATATTTTCTAAACTAGAGCTAATACAGAAATTTAGATTACAGATTTGAAGTCTTCATTAAAAATTAAGCTAAAGTCTATTCCAATCCGAGATTCAGCGCATGTAAATAATGATCAGCGCGTGACATAGACATCATATTATCTAAGATAGACTCGCCCTACACACTGTATACCCAATACACCTTCTGTCCGCATGTTTTACCAGACGGGGAAAGGGGAATCGTACGTCGCACATTAACGTAGTATTTCAGGAGGGTTTACATATATTTTTAGTAAACATTATTTAATGACCAAATCAATAACCTATGGGTCTTCGGAATCAAAGGTAAATTTAAAGAAAACATATTCAATTTATACAGGGCATTCAAAAAGTCATTTTATATATTTTCTTATAGATTAAAATAGTAGGTAGCTCAAAGTGGAAGAACATTTTTGTTAGTATTTTATTATATATATTTTTTTTAAATACATGAAGAGCAAAGAGCGAGTAAAAATATAAAGGGGTCTATTCTGTAAAAATTCCTTTATATTTAACGGCCTTTAAAAATATTTTCTTCTTTAATTCGGTCACTATTTAAACGGATCTTTAAAATACATTAGAGGACTATCTTAAAGAAATCTGTTTAAATAATGATAGAAGTAAATTAACGAATACGAACATATTTTTATAGGCCGCCAATATTTTTAAAGGCCGTTAAATATAAAGGAATTGTTACAGAATAGACCCCAAAGCCATTTATTATTATTTTTACATGGGTACTGTTTAAAAACCTTTTCTACAGGTCGAAAAAAGAATAATTATATTGCCGGACTACCTTTTTTTATGAAATAAAAAGCTATTAAAAACAGAACAATTTTATTTCAGATACATAAATATACAAATATGATCTTTCTATTACATACCATTTGGGTTGCATGTCACGACACCTATTTTTAGAATTATTTGTGTAATGATATAATAACTCATTTAGGACAGTAATCAGCAATGATTTTATAATATCTGGACAAGGCTAAAACACATTAGCTTAAGATTATCAAGAGATACTTTATTTCTAATTTGTCCGAATAGAAAAAACACTAAAGGACATTTCGAATGTCATTTTACTATCAATGGTTACTCCTACAAACACTCTTGGTGAAGAATCTGCTCAATAGATTTATTTAGTGTTATAAGATAACTGATATTTTGTAAAGCATATTTTGGAATAAAAGACAAAATAGCTATTTGTGTATTAAGAACAGAAAGTAGCACCTTTGACAGTTGAGACAGAAAGTCTGTCGAAGAGAAAAGATTTATGTTATATTTATTCAAAAAGGAGGAAAAATACAATATCAAAACTGTTATCTCAGTTATGTAATCATCATTTTCAGTATTTGTGTTTTTCCAACTGACCATAGCAACTGACCATTATTTTGTTATTGAGATGAAAAACCGTACGAGTCCCAGATATGTACGGTTTTTCACCCAATTTCACGGGTATAATTAGCTGTACTACATTAACAGCTAGGTATCTAGTACGGATTTTAAGCTCAATCGATGAAGAGACAAATTTTAAACGAAATGGCTTATTTTGAAATGTCAAATTTGAGACTTGTACGGTTTTTGAACCCACTGGTTTAATTGCAGAACACTGTTTACAGTGAATCTTTTTCTTTAAGGATTTTACTATAAAACCAAAAATATAAGCAACATACTGAATGTATTCACTCAGAAGATATATAGATAGGTAATCATGGTCACGAAGCTCATTTGTATATTCCAAATTTTCTTTAGTGTCTGATTCGTAACATCTTAAATTAAACGCAATTTGGCTACTAGTGTTGCTACAATCCAAGATGCTGGTGCCATCTAAAGCAATTGCATTGGCAGTTTTATTTGACTTTACTTCATTATGAATTAATAATTTTTTATAACAATTTTGAAACAATCTCCATGTGAGATTGTTATTGAAGCATCTGTTACGAACTGCACTAAAAAAAGTATTTTTTTTCTTCTTCATTTTTCGCCTCTTTAACTACCTCTCCTAAAATTCTGATTACTGTATAATTTTAGAGCTTACATTTAATAAAAATACCCATAATAAATACTGTACTTACTTGATAGGTATAGCATTATGTTTTAAGATGTGTCTACCACTTAAATTTTCATAAATATCTGCCATACAAAAATGGCCAGAACATATACTTAATTTTCATAATGTTTTCCTCCACCAAGCATAGATTTTGCAGCCAAATTCTACGTTGAATAATTTCTCTAGGAAACCTGATCAGAAAATATATTATTATTTAAATAAACAGTGCTAGTGCTAAATGCCTTTACACTGTTAAATAAATTAAGCCTTATTCCCTGTACATGCCTACGTCTATGCTAACATAATCTTATTTATGAAATGACCGAATAACATTCTTATTCTGCATATTTCGGCACACTATACATTTCCTCCCCATCGTAAAAGTCCTTAATAAAAAGTTCAGGGTGAAAATTATTCTTGAAAACTACAAAAAACCACAAAAATCACAATAAAACTTGATCTGTCACTTTGACAACATAAGCAAAATGTCTTAGGTTGCCAAAGTTAAATGATTTATACCAAAATGTTTAATATTCCCATATAATACACATGTAAAAATAGCTACTTAAAAGTCTTAAGTGATTGCAATTAATAAAAAACTCATATTGATGCTTTCAATTCTTTATTTTCTTTTTTTATTAGATTGTATTAAAGCTAATAGTAACTTTTTAAATAAAAATTTAATGTTTGATATTTGATGAAAGAGATCTGACAGCATAGGAAGAGCGTACCGTCAAAAAAAAGTTGCGGACAAGTGTAATGTATACAAGGCGTATCTATTATCCGATATCTTTGGCGCGTGATCGCCTCGTGGCTTGCTGGAATCTGCAATGCTATTGGTCAAACGGCCATAAACTGATCTTTACTGTTTTGATGCAAATGCGTACTCAGATTCAGTGCGAAGTGCATCGTCGTTAAATGTGTTGTTTGAATTGAATCTTTTTAAATACCGTTACCTTGTAGTTTGAATATTGTTTTATTTAAATACTTAAGTATATTAAATAACAGTGTGTTTGCTCTTCGGGCATAGCTCGAAACTTTTTGTGTATTGTTTAAATACTTGTTTGGTATATTAAATAAAATATCCAGGACACTTGAACATGTCTAGCACGGATACAGCTGATGAGTCTACAGAAATGTATTTGTCTCCTCCTAGGCAAAGGTCGAAAAAGTCTCATTACTTAAAGATGAAATTGTAAACAAAGTGGCAAGTAAAACAGTATGGTCGCAGCGTCTACAAAATTATCAAAGAATATACCACTAACTATACATTTTCGGCGCCAAAAACCAACCAAAATCGTAAAAAAATTGTAGATTTGGTGGATGACTTTGATAGAAATGCAATCAGAAGAATAGTGCATCAATATTTTTTTTTAAAACGAACTCCCTACTATTGATAAGGTACTTAAAGACATCAATGACGCTCTGGACCTGCCAAGTTTTAAAAGCACTACATTGTATAGATTATTGAAAACATTAAATTTCAAATATCAAAAACGAGGAAGAAATAGCTTGCTTATAGACAGGGATGAAATAGAGCTATGGAGAAGAGAGTATTTACAAAAAATAAAATCCTACAGGAATGAAAATGGAAAGATTTATTTTGTAGACGAGATTTGGGTAAATGCCGGACATACCAAATCAAAAATATGGGTTGATAATTCTGTCACTTCCTCAAGACGGGCATTTTTTGATGGACTTTCAACAGGATTAAAAATCCATCAGGTAAATTATAGTCGTATTATATTATTTACTTTCGGTATATGTATATTTTACAATTTTGGTATCTATCCGGCTGATTGAATAATACTTTAAAAATAAATGAAAGTACATTGTATCGGGACATTTGATATTCAGGCTTTTCATTGCACGGCATTATTAAGATGGCTGACATCTTGAGCTGGTTTATTTGTCTGGGTATATACTATAGTATAAAAATGCGCTTTTTGATTTTAGGTAAAGGAAAAAGGGTGATAGATTGCCACATTGGAAGTGATGACGGATTTGTTCCAGAGGCGTTGTGGGCTTTTGAATCCAAAAAAACCAGAGATTACCATGAGGAAATGAATGGAAAATCTTTTGAAAAGTGGTTTGAAAATATTTTGCCGAAACTGAATGATAACTGTATTGTTGTATTACACAATGCTCCATATCATTATAGAAAACTGGAAAAAATTCCAACTACTGCACCAAGGAAATCTGATATTCAAGACTGGCTGCGTTCTAAAAGTATACAATTTGATGAAACATTACTTAAAGTGCAACTTTTAGCACAGAAAAAATATGATAAATATATCATCGATGTAATGGCTAAAGCTCAAAATAAAATTGTTTTAAGGCTACCACCTTATCACTGGTTTCAGTATCTACTTACTTGTAAATTACTAAAGATCTATGGACAATCGAATGTCTTCCTTGCAATGGTAGGTAAGTATCCCAGTAAGGTCCAGTAAGTTCTTGTCCACCTTTGACTAATATCGTTTCATTATTCCTTCCCAAAAGTTTACCAGATAAATCTCCAATGGCATACTGATCTTGTGTACCGAATCCTATAAAAAATATTACTTTTAGAAAACTTATTTTTAGAAAAGAAATGATGTGTTATGTTTATCAACTAACCCACATTCCAAAATGTTTCTTTCTCTTAAACTTACCGTTTGGTGGAACATTATTTAAATTAATCTTCAATGGATTGTACACAAAATTTGTTGTTAAACAAGAATTTTCATTTTGTCCTACAGCTCTAGAAGGTTTAATAGGCAATTCATGAATTTTATAACCAGACACCGTCGAACTGTATACAATTTTGGTTTCCAAATCACCCCTTGCCGTTGTTAGATTTACAGAAAGAAACGTTGGTTCAAACTTGGTATGCTGAGTCATTCGTATTTCTCCTTTTATACCTCCAGATTGAATGATGACTCTAGAATTACAACACTTTAAAATTAAATCATCTAAAAATTTAATCTAATTTAACATATATTTAACTGAATTATCCTATACACTTAATTCAGTACAATCAGATAACTTTTGAATATAAATATAAGGTATACAAAATATCGAACTAACCTCGTATTAATAGGATTATCATATTGAATTTTAGCACAACCCAAAAACACATCTTCATGTTTAGTCTCAAAAAGAACCAAATAGAGTCTTCTTTGTGGTCCCGTTAAATCACTAGGAAGCAAAATTAACTCTTCATCTCGATACAAAGTTTTAAATTTGTATCTGTTATAGTCAGCAGAAACTTTAACTTTGCCCAGTCTCGCATCTACATCACCAATGGCTTTGCCGTCACCTTTTGCGTCTGGATCGAAGACCAGTTGAAGGATATTGCAGTTATCTGCATGTCTGGTTTCCTCTGATTCAAGAATATCAGTTACATATATTTTCCATGAATGTTCGGTGGATTTCAGAGATCTACTGATGTTTTCTTTATTTCGAATGTGGTACAAATCTGTAGTTATCAGCATGTCACTGTGATTATCTTTGGTAGAAAACCATCTGAAATATACATTACCAGCGAAGGGACTATTAAATCTAGCAACAGCAGTTTTTTCTTTGGTTTTATCCACCATGGTAATCGAGGCACAAATGATTTGATTAGTATCTTCATTTTTAAATAAAAGACCTTTCCCGTATAGACCCAAATTACCGTTTATACTTAAATTTTCTGTAACATATTGAGCAGTTTGGTTGTCAGGTATAAACAAATAACCGAAAGTATCTTGTAGACTGATAATTTTTTTTCCTAAATTTTCACATCTGTTTTCTATTTTCGAGTAATCCACCGGAAATTCCGTGACGTACCACGACCATATTTGGTTGGGATATTCTAAAGTTGCTTTTAGATCAGTACTAATTAGAATTTCTCCATTGACTTTTGTAAATGTTATAGTACCGTGTAGACCTTGGGATGAGATGTAACTTTTTAATTCTAACGAGGTGGAGTGATGTACAACTGTAATAAAAATAGACTCATTAATTACAGAAGTTACAAATGATGAATAGGAAAAATGTTGAAATTGTAAAAATAAATAAATCAACTCTATGGTCGGTAATTTTAAGCCAAAGAAAAATGAAAAAACCAAAAACAGATTCAACACGTGTAAAAAAAAATGAAATGAAAAGAATACCATATTGAACTACTGATGGAAAGCAAAAGCCAATTATTCAAGATTTCATTGGGAAAGATGCATACATTTACTATGATTATGTATACTGTGCGTTTGCTGTAGAAGGAAACCACCAAATGCTTCCAAATAACCCATACTTATTGGGTCTTTGACTGTTTATAACCAAGAGAATGTTTTTATCTTTCTTTCTCGTCTCATAACTTTTCCAACCACCCTGTATTTTTTTTTAACATTTGGCACGCATGCCATGTTCGCTATAACTTATCAAATCTTTTAAGGTATATGGGGGAATACTTTATGGGTGGTCATTTTTATATTTTATGAAATATATCTGTTATTTACGTTTCGAAAAGAAAATTCTTCAAATAAAAGTTACTTCAAATATTATTATCTATAATTTTTGTTTCATACAAAATTTTCTTAAAATGGTCCGTATTCGAGAAATTTGACAAAATGTAAAAAAATCATATTTTTAACTAAAAGATGTTTGCGATATCGATCTCTATAATTTTTGTTTCTACATGATTTCTCTAAAATGGACCTTAATGAAAAAATTGGAGGAAAAGTATAATATTTAAATTTTTTAGTATTTTCGTTGGCAATGAATGTATATAGATGTATGTGGAAAATGTATATATTTAGTTTATCCTCTAAACATTTCTATAGAGGTGCTACAATAGGTTGTACAAAATAACCGGAAAAAGCTTATAATAACTAGATAGGAAAGTCATGTGTTGGACACATGAGATTTTTATTTTTATGCAGATGATTTTACTAAATTAAAATTACAAGTCTAAATTGTTATTTTTGAATTTTTGGGGCTACAAAATGGAAAACCCCACCCATCATCAATATGTAACCAACAAAATGTAACTGCAAGTCCGTATTCAGGACAGAAAAGTCAATTAATTAATATATAACTTTTAAACGTATAAATAGGAACATTTTCAAAACTGCTGGCGAATCGTTCCAATAAAAATTAAAAAAGTTTATAAAAAAAAACAATAAATTTTCATAACTTATAAAAAAACATATAAGTTAATTTTCATAAACAGTTTGCTGTAAAATATTTAAATAATCAATACTAGGAAATAAGGGGGTGGTGGGTGGCACAGTGACTAGATTTTGGATTTTCGAATCCAACAGTCCGGAATTCAATTGGACCTTTCACTGCCAAGTTCTAATAATTAATCATACTTAAGGTATCATTTGGCAAGGCGCGACAAGCGACGTGAGACCGAGATAGAAGTAAGGCGACAAATATTGCTATACTAAATCTGTAACGTCGGTCGCTTCTACCGAAATGTGTTTCATATAAATTACATGTGTTCAGACGTGAAGAGACCGTCTAAGTCTCCCTTGCTGTCGCGGCGCGTTTTAAAGTCGGTCTCTGCCTCGGCTTGCGAAATGGTAGCTTTACTATTCAAACAAAAATCGCATATGTTTAAATCGAAAGATCTAGTTCCGACATAAAAAAAATCTCCAAGACACTGAACTATTTTTCTGGTTTTATATGCTGTTGCAACATATTGTTGAAAATACCCATTTTGTAATTATTTTATTGCGATATCGTCAGCAGTAAGTACTACCTTAAAAAATGGAATTAACCATTCTTCTTTTACATATTCCAACCCAATCACCAACTTTATGGGTAGGTATGCAATGGTCCTTCAAAATTTCGGTTTCGGTTATATTCTTTAAATTAAAGATATTAAGGATATATCTTCATTGCAGGGACGGTTTCTCCATTTGTTCATTTGTACAGTGAACACCCAGTTAAATTTCATAAAAACAATTTTTTTTTAAATCAGGTAAATAACATAATATAAATTCAATTTTAATATATTTATTATTTCCGTACGTGTTAATTTCTATATTTTTGATACGCCACTGCGTTCTGCCTGACCGCGTCTGTCGGTGCAATATGATGATTGAACGCGGGAGGTTTCCGCGAATGCCTGTAGTTAAATAAGAGAGGTCAGCAGATCCATAAAACAAACAGTGTACCCGCTTAAAACCACGTTATTTTGGGTCTAAGAAACCTGACCGCCCGCAATTGGCCGTCAGCCATTGATTGATAGGAATTGATCGCTAGCAGTTTACCGCCACAGCAATTTATCGCATTAGCAAGATCGCCAGGCAAGAATATATTTACAATTATTGGTCTCTTTATAATGAATAACAGGTTTTTAATTTATAATTCTGTTAGGATATAATTCCCAAAAATTTGTATTTATCTTTTAATGTAGATATTTATATTCATAGTGAGATTTTCTATATTTTTCGAAATTATTTTATTAAACATATGTTTAAAGCAATTTGGATACTGCAGTTGCAGCAATACTTTAACGGCCAAGGTTAGAAAGATATTTATCGCACGTAAATTACGCCGCGACAGGTAACTTGGCTTATTCAAGTCACTCTGAATGGGGCCTTTGATCCAGCGTTGCCACATTTAGTAGATTTTTTATTTTTGGCTAGTTTTAGTAGACAATTTTTTTGGTAGATTTTAGTAGATTTCCATAAATTCAATACCGAAAATCGATGGTTTTTAAATTAATATCCATATAACCGCGAACCTCTTGGAGAACCTGAGGCAAACCTGACTTTCAACAATTAGTTAATTTTTTCACTTTTTAGGTTTTCGTTCGTTATTTTATTTTTTATTTATTTATCTTATTATTTTACACTAGTAGAAAAAAATTAAGGGATCAAAAAAATCTCGATTTTTTTGCGATTTTTCGAGTGACTGTATCTTTGGTAAAAATGGTCGTGCGTGAATGTAAAAAAAGCATTTTGAAGCTTGAAGTGTCTAGTTTATGGATCTTGCAATAAAAAAAATTTCCAATTAACAATTAGCACAAAATCCTGATGAATATCATGGATAGAAAAACGCGATCCTTCAATTTCTTCAAAAATTCACTCGCATGAAACAATGAAACGGCTTAATGGATCAGGTGGAAATTTTGTAGGGCTTTCGGAGGAATAATGACCTGTAAGATGCACACTCAACATTATTCATTTTCCGAATATTCTCAATGTGGCACGTGATTTTCTAAAAAACCTCAAAAAGACCTGTTTTCCGAAATTCTTCAAAGTCATGCAAGGAATGAAAAAAAAAAATTCTCGTGAAAGAACAGGCCAGAACCTTGTATAGAATGAATCGAAGTTTCCGAAACCCCCTTTCCATTTTCTGAGCGGCCATTGCTACCTGAGATATTGACGAGAGAAGAGGAAATGACGCATTTTCGTTCTTTTGCTGATAACTCAGCAAGGAAGGGTCATCTCGAGGCTACCAAAAAAAAGAAATGAAGCTAATGAACCACCTATCCAATGCATATAATGGTTATGTCGAGAAATTTTTTTTCAATTTCGTACACTAAAAATTAAAAAAAAAAAATTTAAATTTTCTATCCAAGATATTCATCAGAATTTTGTGCTAATTGTTGGTTCGAAAATTTTTTTATTACAAGATTTATAAACTAGACACTTCAAGCTTCAAATTGATTTTTTTTTTATTCACGTACGACCATTTTTATCAAAGATACAGCCACTCGAAAAATGGCAAAAAAATCGAGATTTTTTTATCCCTTCATTTTTTTCCACTAGTGTATTAAAAGTTTTATGAAAACCCAACTTGTATTTTTGTATATTATGATTGTTCTAGCTTTTGAATGATTTAACCTTTTTATTTTTATATAAAATTTTAAAGGTTTGCCAAAAAAATTTCAAAATATTATAATATCGGGCTTTTGAAAGTTAGTAAATGAATTGGCCACTCTACCTCGAATACGTTCCTGCAGTTACATAAATAAATAGCATTATACAGGGTGTTTCAAAAAGATTGGTCATAAATTATACCACATATTCTTGGGTCAAAAATAGATCGATTAAACCGTACTTACCTATATACAAAAGTGCACCCAAAAATAGTTACAGGGTGTATAAGATAAAAAGTTAAATGAATTTTTTTAACGTTTTAAAATGACAACTTAAAAATATTCAATGGAAATTCTACGTATGAAAAATATCAAAATCAAGTTTATTTTTAAATTACAAACTAATATCATCAAAATAAAAAAAAAATAATTTAACAGGTGTTTAAAATTACATTCTCCTCCTGTATACACTTACTACATAGTTTTAACAATGAAAATCGAACTTTGATATTTTTGCATGCGTAGAATTTACATTGAATATTTTTAAGATGTCATTTTAAGTGGCTGTATCGTCTAAACAAATACTAAGAGACGAAAAAGTTTCCAAATAGATGTTGCATTTCAGTAGCGTTTGATTTTATATTACAAAGGAGTTGAGTAGAGAAGAGGGTGGAGACACCCTCCAAAAATCCTACAAAAATAAAAAAATATATATATACCTCGATTTTGTTAGTCATGGTATTCCAACACGTCATATAAAATTTCATGAAAAAATGTCAAACGGTTTAAGAGACACGTTAAAAAAATTCATTTAAATTTTTATCTTATACACCCTGTAACTATTACACAAATTAAGAAATTATTTAAAATTAACAACTAAAAATAACTTTTTCTTTATTTTTTAGGTCTTTTTGAATATATTTTTTGTAATATGATATAGGACATGGTATTATTTTGATGTAAAATACCTATAAGTTTGTCAATTTTGTTCTAATCAGAACCTGGACAACAAATTTTACTTATACGATGTGAAGAATTAAATAAATGGGTAAAATAGATAAAACACTCGGTATTTTGACGCTTATAAAGATCAAAGTCCACTAAATATGGTTTATTTTATTTTGGTAACATCTGTATCTGCATTTGTAATAAACCTTTAATCTAAATAATAAACTGAAACTTATTATTTAGTCGAAATAATATAATAATTATAAAAAAAATCAATTCAAAGATTGCCAGCCCAATGCAAAATATTCATTCTATATAATACAATATGTATATTAATTTCGTAGGTACCTCAGGTAACAAATGTACCGTTGTTGAGTAAATAACACTATATAGGTATTTGAATTTTTTAAGTGCAAGTCACTAATAAAAGAAATAAAACTACTAATTGTGTAAAACAATAAATATTAATACACCCTTAACCCTTAACGAATTCGCAGTTAATTTCTAATAAAACATCCTGTATAGGTATATGTACCTCAAACTATTTTGCGTACTATTTCGCATACTGCCTATTTTTAAAAATAACAAAATTAATAAGGTAGCTAAATATTTATGACTTATTAGTTTTTTTTTTAATAATTCATTCTAAAAATTATTCCGCATTCCTATCTAGTAATTTTAACAGCTAAATAATTTAAAATTTCATGCACAGCTGGTTTATAATTAACAATAACTAGACCATTTAATATTTAATTCCATTCACCTTCACTTTCTCTTAAAATAATCGTAGGTACCTACTTAATAATATACAGAATTAAATTTATAATATTTTTGATAATTATTGAAACTAAACTAAATTCAAAAAGTTTTATTACTTTATTAACTTACCTGTTAATATTAATATTAGCCACAACCATTTCGTCATCATTTTATTCAATATAACAACTAAATATTAGAAATAGGTATTAAAAAGCACAAGAAAATATCGCACTGTCACACACATTACTTATAACTTTTCTTAAAAAATTCCACACAAAATCGAACAGTCGTTGAAATCACCGATCGCTTCACCATGTGGTTACCTCTATGGGTGACTGGTGCAGTTTGTCAATAGAAAGCGGGATTTCACTGTTGTTGATGTAAATATTTTCTTCAACAATAGCCACTTTCATAAGCGTAGACGGTGGAGATGGAATGGGATCGAATAGACTCCCATAACAAATTATTTAACTAATATAAATTAAATTGATTTTTAATATCTAAATCCGATACCATAGTATCGTATTTAAATATATAATCGTTCACCGATTCCCACGGCTTATATTTTATTCGTAATGCAATATTACATTAAGAAATAGTTATCCCGTGACTCGATAGCTATTAAGCTTAATATCGTTTTTCTTGAACAATTTTAAGTTAAAAGAGTCTTATATACTTTTGTGCAAAACTCAATAGTTAAGGAGTTATGGACAATATTAAATTTAACAGCGTGTATATTATAAATTTAATTAAGAATTTTTATTGCTAACATAAATTTAATTAAAGTGTTTATTCAAAATATATCTGCTAGACAACATATTCTTATTCTTCTAATAATTGAAATAGCAAAAAATAAATGTTTCGTCAGCTATCAGTGTTGTACACATCTACAACCTTTGATTAACTACAAATACAGCCTTCCTCGAAAGCAAATTACAAAAAAACACGAAAATGAAGATATACAACACAATAATCAGACCAATATTTACTATACACAGGAGGTAGATCTACGAATTGTGAAAAGAGAAATTATGAAAGCAATATTAGGACCAATTAAAAGCACAGAATTAGAATAAATGAAGAAATTAAACAAATACTAAAAGAAGTACATAACAAAAATAAAACAATCCAGAGTTAGAGAGCAGGAAATGGGACATTTGTTCATTCAATGTTACAATGGACCCAGGAGGGTGAAGGAGACGTGGAAGACCCACAGAATGGCTGAAGGAAGTCAAAGAAGATCTAAACAAGACAGGAGTAAATAATTTGCAAGAAAAAGTACAGGATAGGAAAATATGGAGGGTCGTTCCGAAGAGAATAGGATTGATCCACCCAAAAACATAGATCTAGAGAGCGAACAGCGTCTTAAACCCACTAAGAGAGTTTTTAGCCACTTTATATGTAATAATTGAACAGAAGGCTTTCTGGAGAGTATCTGGGTCATCTCGTATAGATCCACCTGCAGCCATAATATTTCGAATTAGATCATTTATGATTTGTGGTTTATTTGAATACACTAGACTTTTCACGTGTCTCCAAAGATAACAGCCAAGAGGCTTCAGGTTTGGTGACTTTGGAGGCCATAGAACTAGACCTCCACCGATTAACAAACAAACAAACATTCTCCATTATTCCTGGCTATTCATTTTGTAAAAAATGTAGAGAATGCTTGGATGTTAAACGTTCTTGAGATACGAATGGCCCAATAAGGTTAGTATCTATCTACCCAATAAATACAGTTAATCGGCACCGTAATTGGGCCGAAGAAGACTTTCCGGTTGCCGGCCTCGGCCCGATATACGGGTGCAGCTTCGGCATATAGATAGGGCATGTTCGCCCAGCCGAATGTCGGCTGCCCACCAAATTGCAATATCGACCATATGCGGTTTTTACTTCTAAATTACGTCAAATGGTACGGTTCTTCCGGCTCAAAAGAAACCCCGACAACGGCAATCCGAGTACTCGCCTTCCCATACATACCGGTGTCAGGCCGAACGAATGCCGACTATTTGTGGTTTACTGGGATCGGAATTAGGATGTGGTTCAAAGCCCACTCGTACTAAGTATCTAGACTTATTGTACTCCTCACAGTTTCTTCCCCATCAGGTTAATATTCTTAATGAATACAAACATATGTCTGATGGACGCTTTCTCCAGGTTCCGGATATTGTACCCCGTTCCCATTTAAGGTTAATATGAATCGGAGTTTTGTTCTCCTCTTCAGATATTCTGCATAGGGAGTCGTCAGATATGCCTAGGAGGTTTAGGTGTTTTCTAAGGCCGCAGTGTCCCACAAAGAGTCCTATTATGGCCTTTAGTTCGCTTCTGTTAAGGTTTAGCAGTTGATTTTGTCTACTTTTGGATGAACCCTCTATGAATATTTTGGATTGTTTAAGACCTGGAAGTTTCAACCAGAGCCTATGGTATTCCGTTAGCACCCACTTAACATGTTGATATGAAATACTACATGTGGGTTCTGGTCCAATTAAAGTTTTCTCAGCTTATTTCTAGCTAGGAGTTTTGCCTTTTGTTTTTCCAGCCTCATATCCCGGCACCCATTCAAGAGTGGCCTTGTTTATGTTCTGCCAGGACCTGGAGGAACTGTTGGTAATAAAATATTAATTTACATACTTTTCCGTGCTTTAAGGGCTGTCTGACTGTCTGTCATACTAAAGACCTTCTTACCTCTAAAAGAATTATTTAAATAACTTTGGCGCAGACATTTAATGCTGTTATTTCAGCCTGGCAAACTGTGACCCAGGTTCAGACTAATGGTTCTCCCTGAGTTCATGTGGTAAATCCCAGCTTCTGTGCTGTTTTTCATCTTCGAGCCGTCTATATATCAGATTGACTCTTTTTGTATTTCCCTGTTTTTTCGGCTTCTGGTCCTTTCTGGTATTTGAATATCGAAAGGTTACCTAAAGTCATAAATAAGGTCTCCTATCCGATGGCATTCTTTACTCCGGATTTTATTTAATCCTCTAATATCATTCTATAGTGTCCTTCCTTCGAAAGTTCCGGTCCAAATCCATTAGAGAACAGCCTCTATGCCGCCGCCATAGCCTCATTCTTTATTACAAGGTTCAATGAAGGAAAACCTAGTAGTAGCTCCATTGTGCAGTGGGCGTAGTTCTAATGCCCCTGTTGTTATAAGACAGGCCAGTTTTTGTATCTTATTTAATTTTCTGCTAGCTGTTATGCTTTTAACCTTGAGCCACCATATGACTGATGAGTAAGTTATAACGGGTACTACAATCATGGCATAAAGCCATATGTTCATATAAGAGGTCATCAACCACCAAGATCCACATGAGTGGAGATAAGGAATAACCTCCCTGTGGCAAAGAAAGTTATTAAAAACACCACACCTTGTTTTTAAAAGTGTCGTGAATGTGAATTTCTATTCGCAAATCCACTTCTAGTAAACATGGCTTTATCTTTTGACATAATTTGTTCACAAAGCTGGTGGTGTGCAATCAACGCGCGCTGCATCATAGTCTGCTGGTTGTAAATGTTGGACAGTATTGTACAAACCAAAATTGTCTAATGTTCCCCACACTTTCAATCGATTAACATGAACACGATTAGATATTCCTCGTATACTAGTAGAGGGACTATTTTCGATCTTGTTAATAGCTTCTTCTTCGGCAAGTTCTTGTTGTACGGGACGTTCTAAAGTAGCTCTAGGAAGTGTCAAAAGACGATGTAAATATATGAACACTTGCTTGTTAAGTGTTCTTCGTTAAGGAAACCTTCGCTGATATTCCGGAACTGACTCTCTTGCATTTCCATCATAGATTCCATAAATAAAGTGAATATCGACATATTCTTGATTTGAAAATGTCATATCAAATTAATCTTAAAATTACAACAAAGAATAAACAATATAACCATAACAATATGACAGATCTAATTAATCTTGAGATTACAACGTCAAAGAATAAACAATGTCACAACAACACAATTTCATTGCCTACCAGATTAATTTACTGTTAAATCTAATGTTGCCCATAACTCCTTAACTATTGAGTTTTAGACAAACAAAAGTGTATGAGTCACTTTCGACTTAAAATTGTCCAAGTAATACGATCCTTAATAATGGCCATCGAGTCGCAGGACATCTTGTATATTTCATGCAATATTCAAAATTATTGTTTAAAGTACTAAAATAAAAACAATTTTCGCTATTTTTCTATCATATTAAATATTACTTAGGTGGCTGGAGGTAAGAGAAATCACACCTCAGCCACCATATAAGTATGTCATCTAAGTCCTATTATATACTATATTATATGTAATAGAAAAGTATTTTATTTCTTTTTATTACTGTTTTTTAAGCGTTTTTTATACCTGATGATGATCATTTTCCAAACCAATTCTCTCGTTAAGTATAAAAAAATTGTTGTTAAGACTTTGTAGGTTTATTTTTCTTTAATATTCATTTCTGAGGAACAATCAAATTCCGTCTTTATTAAAAAACATTTTACTTGTAAATTTAAAGAAAACCTTTCTTGTGAGTATGATACATACGATTTTTGTAGTTTCAGTTGTGGTACATTCATTAGATTTTTATTTATATTTTTCAGGCACCCAATGGATGAAAAACATAAAATTAGCTCACCCTTATTGACTTGAAATATTTCTCGAATAAAATGGCTTGATTTTTGCAAAGCAGGTTAAAATCATGTACAAAACTATAGCAAAACGTACGGATCTCTGCTTGTGACCGTTGGGCCATGTAAAAAGCAATAATCATGGCTAGTACCATCCATAGATTAAACTTTATATATTTGTGCAGTATATTTAAAAATCGACTACCAATTTTTTTTTTGTTGAAAATTTGAGGAACTTCGAATAGCAAATTTGCATAGTCATATTAATACCTGTCCAGTTAAAAATTCTCGAAGATAGGTGGAAACAGAAACCATAACCTGGTTAACTTCAACGCACATAACATCAATGTTCTATGAATATATTAGGAACGTTCTGTCGTTCTGTTCCTTACGGTATTTACTTTTTAGAATATTAGCTATGTCTTAAAAGTGTATTCTAAAAAGCATATACTGAGCACGTGCTTCAATGAGACATTCTTAGAAGATACTAAAAGTCATATATTCATATACACATACTCGAGTACATTTTCAAATTTACATAGCACGTATATACATGGTTCTGAGACTGTTCTTAATGTAAATAAAGTATATTTAAAGCATATGCATATTCTTAAAAAGTATAATGCTAAGAATGTATAATTGTTATTTGGGGATTTTTATAACTGTCATAATATTTTCAAATTCTAATTAAAATTAAAATATTTTTGTGTAAAATTTTTCGTTTAAATTGCAA